TAAAATTGAAAGCAAGAAAACTATTGAATTAATAAATAAAACTAGGAACTGGTTTTATAAAAAAACCCGATAAAATAGACAAACCATCGGTTAATTTGATTAAAAAGAGAAAACCAAATTACCAGTATCAAAAATGAAAAAAAGTGAATTCACCATCAATGAAGAGGAAATTAAAGCAATTATTAGGAACTGTTTTGCCCAATTGCCAATATATCTGGCAACCTCAGTGAAATTGATGAATATTTACAAAAATATAAGTTGCCAAGATTAACAGAAGAGGAAATAAAATACTTAACCCCATTTTAGAAAAAGAAATTGAAGAAGCCATCAATGAACTCCCTAAGAAAAAATCCCCAGGGCCAGATGGATTCACAAGTGAATTTTACCAACCTTTAAAGAACAATTAATTCCAATGTTAGGGAAATTATTTGGAAAAATAGGTGAAGAAGGAGTCCTACCAAATTCCTCTTATAAGATAAATATGGTGCTGATACCTAAACCAGGAAGAGCTAAAACAGAGAAAGAAAACTGTAGACCCATTTTCCTAATGAATATTGATGCAAAAATTTAAAATAGAATACTAGCAAGGAGATTACAACAATATGTCACAAAAATCATAAACTGTGACTAGGTGGGATTTATACCAGGAATGCAGGGCTGGTTCAGTATTAGGAAAACTATCAGCATAATTGACCATATCAATAACAAAACTAACAGAAATCATATGATTATCTTAATAAGTGCAAAAAAAGCACTTTTGACAAATATAACATTCATGCCTATTAAGTAACACTAAATAATAAATGGTATCTATCTAAAAATATCAGCAAATATTATCTGTAGTGGGACTAAGCTAGAAACTTTCCCAATAAGATCAGAGGGGAAGCAAGAATGCTCATTATCACTACTATTATTCAATATTGCACTAGATATGTTAGCTATAGCAATAGAAAAAAGAAATTGAAGAATTAGAATAGGGAATGAGGAAACAAAACGATCACTCTTTGCAGATGATAAGATGGTATACTTAAATAATCCTAGAGAATCAATTTTAATTAGCAACTTCAGTAAAGTTGCATATAAAATAAACCCACACAAATCATCAGCATTTCTATATATTACCAACAAAGCCCAGCAGTAAGAGATAGAAAGAGAAATTCTGTTTAAAGTAAACGTAGACAATATGCAATACTTGAGAATCTATCTGTTAAGACAAACCGAAGAACTATATGAACACAATTACAAAATGCTTTTCACACAGTTTAAATAATTTGAAAATATCAATTGCTTGTGGGTAGATCAAGCTAATATAATAAAAATGACAATTCTAACTAAATTAATTTACTTATTCAGCGCCGTTCCAATCAAACTACCAAAATTATTTTATAGAGTTAGAAAAACATAACAAAATTCATCTGGAAGAACAAAAGGTCAAGCATATGAAGGGAATTGATGAAAAAAATGTGAAGGAAGGTGGCGTAGCCATACTAGATCTCAAACTATATTATAAAGCAATAATCATCAAAATTATCTGGTACTGTCTAAGAAATAGTGGTGGGTCAGTGAAATAGATTAGTTATACAAGACAGTACTAAATGACCATAGTATTCTAGTGTCTGAAAAACCCAAACACCCCAGCTTCTGGGACAAGATCTTACTATCTGACAAAAACTGCTGGGAAAACTGGAAAATAGTATGGCAGAAACTAGGTATAGACCAACATCTTACACCGCATACCAAGATAAGGTCAAAATGGGTACATGATTTAAACATAAAAGGTGATAACATAAGCAAATTAGGAGAGCAAGGATTAGTTTACCTGTCAGATCTATGGAGAAGGGAAGAAATTATGACAAGCAAGAGATAAAGGGCATTACAAGATATAAAACAGATAATTTTGACTAGATTAAATGGAAACATTTTTTTTTGCACAAACAAAACCAAATGCAGCCAAGATTAGAAGGAAAGCAGAAAGCTGAAACAATTTTCACAGGACATGTCTCTGATAAAGGTCTCATTTCTCAAATATATAGAGAATGGAGTCAAATTTATAAGAATATTTCATTCATCAATTCATAAATGATCAAAGGATATTAACAGGCAGTTTCAGATGAAGAAATCAAGGGTATCTATAGTCATGAAAATGCTCTAAATCACTATTGATTAGAGAAATACAAATTAAAACAACTCTGAAGTACCATCTCACACCAATCAGATTGACAGAGAAGGAAAATGATATATGTTGGAGAGGATGTGGGAAAATGGAACACCAATGCATTGTTGGTGGAGTTGTGAACTGATACAACCATTCTGGAGAGCAATTTGGAACTATACCCAAAGGGCAATGAAACTATGCATACCCTTTAGTCCAACAATACCACTACTAGGCCTGTATCTCAAAGAGATCATTAAAAAAGGGGAAAGGACCCCTGTACTAAAATATTCATAGCAGCTCTTTTTGTGGTGGCAGAGAATTGGAAATTGAGGAGATGCTCATCAACTGGCGAATGGCTGAGCAAATTGTGGTATATGAATGTAATGGAATACTATTGTGGTATAAGAAATGATGAGCAGGCAGATTCCAGAAAAAAACTTTGAAAGACTTATATGAACCGATGCAAAGTGAAGTGAACAGAACCAGAAGAACATTGTACACAGTGACAGCAATATTGTACAATGATCAGCTATGAATGATTTAGCTATTCTCAGCAATACAATGATCCAAGACAATTTCAAAGGACTCCTGATGAAAAAATACTATCCACATCCAGAGAAAGAACTGATGGAGTCTGAAGGCAGATCAAAGTATAGTATTTTTCATCTTCTTTATTTTTTTGTGCTTTTTTTTTTTGGTTTGTTTCTTCTTTCCAATGTGAATAATATGGAAATATGTTTTACATGATTGTACATATATAACATATAAAATTGCTTACCATCTTAGGGAAGGGGGTGTTGAGGGAGGGAGGGTGAAAATTTGTAACTCAAAAGTTTTTAAAAATGAATGTAAAATTTTTTTTACATGTAATTAAGGAAAATACTATATAAAAAAATAAACTATTGGCTAAACCTATACAGTTTAAGGATAGAAATGAGGTTTTTGGACACACCTCCCTCAAACTTACTCTCAAACCTTCAGTTGAATATCAATCAATCAACAAACATTTATTAAGTACTTTTTCTGTGTAAGGCACTAGAGAGACAAATGCAAAATTATCTTCATTAAACAAGAAATTTGATGGGAAGTGGTCTTGAAAACCATTTTTGATAGCACTTTATAAATATGTGGTAAACTCATTTTCCATGAATCCAGTGAAAAACAAACAGGCCTCTTTCAACTTCAGACTCTCTAACCTGGGTAATTTGATCATGCTCGAGTTAATAACAACATCTTATGTTTCCCTAGCATTTTAAGATTTACAAAGTACTCTCTCCAGTGAGCCATGTAGGACATATATTATTTCTATTTTACTTGGAAGGAAACCAAGACTCAAAGGAGTTAAGTGACTTGCCCAAGGTCACAAGACTAGTAAATATTAAAGCAGGGCCTTGGACTTAGGTTCCCTGACTCCAAGTACAGTGCTTTCCCTACCATATTAGGCCTCTGGCTTTGAAAAAAGAATTTGCTTATAGTAAAATAGATTTCTTTGAGGCTGAGTGGTGTATTGGATAGAGAACCAGCCTTGGGAGCAAGAAAAATACTTGGGTTCAGGTTTCATTTTTAATGTCTACTATATAACCCTAGACAAAGTCATTTAATCTCTCATTGGCCCAGGAACTCTCCAACACCAAGTTGCATAATGGTTGTAGATCTTTATGAGTAAAAATTTTCTGTAAGGGAGGAAGGGAGCTAATACCGGTATAATCGCAGATCTAGACCAAAAAAGAAATTTCAGGGGTACAGTTTCAAAAAATCAGGTATTCAGGCTTTTTAGCAATAAAATCACAGATTGTGGATGTGGAAGAGATCTTCTGTAGTCTCATCCATTTATCCATACTTTCTATCATTCCTGGCATGTTACCCATGATTCCCCTATAATAAAACAGTTTCCATTGTTGGGCAATTCGGTGGGTAGAAATCTGCATACAACAACCAACACGTTCATTACTAACATGTCTCCTCTATTCAGCAAAACATATTCTTTACTTTGTAAAGGGAACAGCTAGGTGTCTCAGTGGCTAGAGTGTTGGCCTGGAGTCAGGAAGACTCATCTTCCTGAGTTCAAATCTGCCTTCAGACACTTATGAGCTGTGTGACCCTGGGCAAGTCACTTAACTCTGCCTCAGTTTCCTCATCTGTAAAATGAGCTGGAAAAGGAAATGGAAACCACTCCAGTATCTTTGTCAAGAAAACCCCAAATGGGGTCACGAAGAGTTGGACATGACTGAACAACAACAAATTTACTTTGTACCAACTCTTAACTTCAATAACCTCCGTTTCCTCATATGTAAAAGGGAGCTGGATTAGACAATCACCAAGGAAGGTCCCTTTCAGCTCTAAATCAATGAACTATGTTAAACATTGGCTCAATTTACAGTTTTTGTTTTAAAGGATTAAAATTTTCTTAAAGATATCCTATGATTCATATTTTCCCAACCACTCCAAAATTCTGAGGTTTTTTTTTTTTTTACTATACGGAGAAAACCAATGCATTAATACTTAGACCACACTTCAAACCCTGACTCCCTCCCCACAAAGGCTTATGTCCCATGTCTGATGCATGGTCCTTGCCTTCCTACCCTGCCCCCTACACAGATATAAACACAGACACACATATATACACATACACATATACACAGTACATATATACACAGCCACACAGCCATGTACACACATACACCGACACATGCATACATCCACAATACATATACACATCCACATACACACATATCCACATCCACATCCATAATGCACATACATGTACACACATACATATACACACAATAAACATACACACAGATCAAGGAAACAATGGTGAAAGGAGGCACAGAAGGCTGTCTTGTCAGGTTGTGCTGCATGCAGCTTTATTGGCCTTGTTGGCTTTTTCCATCCAAATGCAAACATTTCATTAGCTTTTCCTACAGCATCTTTTGGCTAAACTTTATTTTTGGAGATTCCTCTCAGTGTGGCAGAGTCTATTTGGATAATAACTCAGGATGCATTCTGGGGTGGGGCTTCAGTCATGGTCATGATCGCAGGAGAATGAAATGAGTTTGGTGTCATGAGCCACTGTAGTCTCTCCTTGCCCACTCTCCCAACCTCCCTCCCCTTTTATTTTTGAAGTGAAATTATATTTTGACCTGGTTCCAATCCAGTTTGTTTGATTTTCCTTTAATGGCTCCAAACTGAACTAAACGAATCTCTCTCAGCCCCATCCTACAAGAAGCACCACGTCTACAGGAAGAAGGCCGGCAATCTGGACGTTTGGATATCATTTTGCGTAGTCCTCGTCCCCTCACATCCCTTCCTCCTGGACTGGCAGAATGAATTCAGCTTTTTAAAATGGACAAACCTAACAAAAAAACCCACCTTGATCAGACCAGTTTCTTGATCAGACGCCACTTCCTTGGAAACACAGGGAATGGGCAAGAGAAGGGTTTTAATTTCCTTCTTCGTGTGAGCAAGGGAGAGTGTGGTTCATCTGATCATAAGATTTAGAGCTAATATTCCTCATTGATCATCAAGCTGGACACTTATTATTTTATGGATGAGGAAACTAAGGCCCTAAGGAATTATGACTCTGAGTGTGGAGAAGAAGGGGTCCTGAAAATAATCAAACTCACAAGTATAACCTTGGCAGTAATTTCAGGCACTTAATAATGACACCTCTCCAGGGATCTGAAAATGTAAAATGCTCTTTGTAAGAATAGTTTCCTAAGGGGCCAAATGGGGTGACACTGAGTGGCACTTAGAGACAGAGATCTCCTCACTCTTGGGGCAGCATTGCCAGGAAGTAAGCAATCCATTTACCTTTTATATGGGATGCACCCTGGTGAAATCCAGGTACTCTTGAGAAACTCCTGTGGCTTGGCTTTCAGGAAGGCCTTTCCATAGCTTTACACCTGCTCTGAAATGTTTTGAGGTATGAACATACCTTTGAAAAGAATTCCAGTTTAGTCTTTGTGCAGTGACCTATGGCTCAACCACAAAGCATCATATTGGCTTTAAGGTGGGAATAGCTTGGTTCCCACATTTGGAGGGAGGGAAGTAAGCTGGTTGCCTCTGCCCTAAAGAAGATACTCTCTCTATTCCAGATAATCAAACGGTCTGTTTTCAAGTGTTTATTTGGAGTCGGGGAATTGGGAGAGCAGAATTAGTCCTCCTACCTACTGGGGAAAAACTAACCACCATCATTCCCTTTCTGAAGAAGGAAAGCGGGAAGGGGAGGCAATGAGAAATAGTGAACTTAGCATGTGCTGGTGAGTGTAATAGGCAAGGATCTTTTACTCTTTAGGTCCTGCATACAGGTGGATGATTTGGCAAGGGGAAGACCTGGAAATGCCCAAGGGAAATAATACAGAAGGAGATAATCTGGGAGAAAAGCAGATGTACAATCTGTGGCTTATTCCAGTAGCCTAAAGAGCAGGCCTTCCAACAACTATTAAAAAAGAAAGTATTCATCATCTTAAAGGTCCCCAGAATTCCAGACACATTACTGCCCTCCAACAGGAATACTCCAGTTCATCCAGGCTCCTCTCTGCTTCTAAGCCTTTGTTCCTTTCGTTCTCCTTTCTCTCCAACAGTCTGAATCATACACATCTTTCTAAAATCCAGCTGAAGAGGCTCTTCCTCCTTCTTTCCACCCATCAAATCCTGTGTCTTTCAAAGATCCAGGTCAAGTCTCACCTTTGTGAAGCCTTTCTGCCATGGCTTCAGCCTCCCCTTCCCTTCTGAACTCCTTGGCACTCACTCTTTGAACTCCTCCTTTGGGAGCAATTCTATACTTCTTGGCTTTGTTGGTTATCTTTTCTTTACTATGAACACATTTCTTGTTGTTCTCTGCTTATGCATTTCCCTGATGCAAGTCATGGACGCCTCTGGAACTGTAAGACCCTGGCAAATTACAACTTCTCAGTGCTCTAGACAGCTCTTTAATAAGATTATTCATTTTCAAGGAAGGTGGTGACTTATATTGGTAGAAGGATTGTCCTCATCTGGGAGTTCCTTATTCCACTGAAATCACAGGTCCAGACCCTAAATAGGCTCCATGTCTTATGCTTGTGCTTCCCCATGGTGCTTGGAATCACATGGTTCTTAGGTGCTAAAAAGATTGTTGACTGAGATGATGAAAGTGCATGGGAGAATAAAGAATGCTAGAAGGACCACCAGTAAAGACCTTGGGGGTCTCCCAGTGATAAGGCTGCTACTTCTATAACCTCCCGGTAAGTCCCATAGGGACTGAATCCACTTTTCTCCAGCTTGCTGACTGTTACTACTACCCAGGACTATGCTGTCCCGCCCTTCAGAGTATATGAGAGATTAACTGGCCCACACAGGTGATAACGGAAATAAGGGATGGGCAACCCCTAATTTTGACTACGAACATGGGAAATTGACAATTATAATAGAGAGGAGCCAGTTTTCACTTTAGGATTTTTTGGTAAGTATTTAGAGACATCTATACTCCAGAAAGGCAGCTACTTGTGGGTATGACCATTTTCTTACAAATCTGAGTCTTAATTTTTGCCTCGAGGCTCCCCTCCTGAGGACTCCTGATGCAGGAGGTCCACTTAGCAGCAAAACTTATCTATGTCTGATATATACATAAATATGTATAAAATATATACTTTTTATTCTTAAGAATCCACAGGATCAGAATCAGAACTAGGCAGCAGTGGGAAATTGGAGGAGAGGAAATTTACACGAGATAGCCATAGCCACTCTGAACCAGCTCAAGGGACCTGGAATTGTATTTCATCACGACCTGACCCAAGTTCCTATGCTTGCAATTGGCCTGGTCAGTATATGAGCAGTGTCTTCACATGTCTTCATGAGCCTGCTCCTCCAGCCACCACCCCAGACTCAGAAGAGCACATCCTGAAACACGACCCAGGGAAATGACCCTGACCCAGCCTAAGGTAAACACCAGCACCAGTACAATTCCTTGTCGAGGAAAACAGCAAACAACCTTATGTTTGGGATGGGGTTGAGGTACCATGAGGATGGTGGTCAAAGAAGTCCGGAAATGTGAGTCTCTCAAGGAATGCTTGTGACCAGCTCTCCAAGAATTACCTTGTTCCAGGACTAAAAGTTTACTTTGAAGAACTGGAATGTAGCTTAACACAAGTAAGTTAATAGTATACATCAATGTAATGGAAGGCATCTAACACTAACCTTAAAACCAGCAACATGCCTAATGAAACATTTATTCCCTGTATGGATCTCAGAAATTCCTGAAAATGAATAGTCAGTCAGAATCCCAGTCCTCTCATGTTTAAATGGAAAGTTTTCTCAACAGTTTTAAATCATCAAGGAACTCTGGGGTGAAAATTGTGCTTTATACTATTTTTTCCCTCTTTTTCTTTGTTTTAATATAGAGTTTGAATTCATCTCACCTGTCCATCTGGCTTCTGGGCATCCTAAGAAACACTCAAGACCTTAAAAATCCAGAATGTTTAACAGTCACACAAAATATGTAACTTTGGTTTCTTTTACCATGAAATGACATCGACCCAGCTAACCCTCAGTGTCAGTCATCATGCTTCCTCCTATAATCTGAGAACTAGAAGGCCCTTTAAGGGCTAGTTCCTCCTTCCTATTTGCTTCATCTCTCTAGAAGGTCGATACTCAGAATTTTACCCTGCTTTCCATATTGAAAATATGTACAATTGGCTACAACTTGCCACCTCTCACAACAGAGAGGTCAAAAGTATGATAAATTCCTGGGTCTGTTGAATCAAATTCCTCCCAAAGAAGGGGAGGGTTTTGTTCTCTATCCTGATATGCTGGGGGTATCTCCCCAGTGCCATCAGAATATAATGCCTTCCACAGATGCCTACATCCTTTTCCTCTTAATCCAGATTCAAAAGATTTTGCACTTCCTCCATAAATATGTATGCTAGGTGGCACTAACTTTGTTAGTTTGAAATAGAATGGAGGTAGGTTTGAGGGAGGCCATTGACAGGACTAGGGAAACAGGGGATGGGGAGGAAAAAAAGAAAGGAACATAGAGGCCTACACAAGAGGAGTGAGATGCTTTGAGAGGACCTCATGAGAAATCTTCAAGTGATGGCTGGAGGTTGATTGGCTGGGAATGTGGTAGAAGGGATTCTTGATCAGGTTTGGATAAGACTAATTGGTTTGTCAAGTCCCTGCCTGCTCTGATATTCCGTGAAGGTAGGAGAAAAGGATTTTGACTTGACTCCCTAATTAGACTGTGTACTTCCTGAGGGCAGGGAACGTATCTTACTCAGCTCTACATCTAGCACAGGATCTTATACTAAGTAAGTGCTCATTAAGTACTGACTGATTGAATCAGTTAGAAAGAGGAGAGAGAAGAGATGAGGCCTTCTAGGACTTTAGTGACGCTACCCTGTTCTTATTACGATCAGTTCCTGTTCTTCTTACGATCGCTGCTCCATCTTTAACAAGTCTGTCCCATATACTGTGGGAAGATAGAATCACTTCCTTAGGGCTGAGGAGTCAGAGGTGAGAAATTGGTTGTAACTTTAGAGGGCAGGAATAGGAGAGAATGATAGAATCCAACCCAGCTTCCCCTAGGTCTTAAAAGTCTTGACCCTTGACCACTGAGCCCCCCAGTGTCCAGCAGTTTTTGAACCAGACCTATTGTACTCACTTGGATTCTATCTTTTAGCCTGTTGTGACCCCATCTTGAGTCTTTCCTTTCCTGTGTTTTTAGGACAGACCCAGCATTTTCCCTGGCCAATGTCAATCAGAACTATACTTCAAGGTGCTTGTTTTCTAATATCTGACTCTTTTCCCACCCTTCCCTGCCCAACCCCTCAACTCTCACTTTCTTGTGCCAGAGACAGGTGGCATATCAGGACAGTGTGAATGGTTCCAAGACCACAACTTCAATTTCTTCTCATCTGATATAACCTCCCTTTCTCTCTCCCTGAGGTTCACCCTATGCATAGATCTTTAGTTGGTTCTTTGAACAAACTGTGCTTTGCACATTTTGCTGTCTCTAGGTTATCCTTCTGAGGCACTCCCTTCTGTTCCAGCAAGGATAGTTTCACTAGTTGCGGTACACATGTGTAGATATATATGTATTATATATGTTTAAAAGTTAAAAAACGTTAAAAACAATAACTTCAACAGCTCCTGGCTGTTCCAGGCAGGTGAGGTCTCACCCTATAGGTTTGAAGGTGAAGGAACTTCCTTTCTGAGGGGTTCCCCCACAATGGCTGCAGTATGGTTTTTTCCTCCACAGAGGTTAGCTCTGGAGTCCTCAGTCAGGCAAGCAGCTCAGCACTCCATAGATTCCATGGGTCACCATGGTTCCATTCCACCCCTTGCCTGTTTCTGCTGTCTCCAGAAAGTCAAACCAAAGGCAAATCCGGATGATGGGAAGTTCCATGCGTTAGTGGTGGCGGCAGCAGCCAATGTAGACCTCAGAGCTGTGTCTCATCTCGTGTCTCAGGGTGGCATGGCTCCAACTTATTACTGCAACTGCTTTTCTGACTGTGTGTGTCATTGGTTACGTGGGCTAAGGGGTCTGATCGGATTAAATACCTAGAGAGGAAAGAGGCAGAGAAGGAACAACTGTCCACTTTCAATCCTGGGGTAATAATAATGGTCTCTCCTCTCACCTTTCATTCAAGTTTGCAAGCATTCAAGTGCCTATGGTGAACCTAGTTCATGCTGCTTCCTTCCCCTCTCCTTCTAGCTAAGTCTAACCAATCCTTCTGGGTCCAACTTAAATAATTTCCCTGAACCATTCCAACTTACCCTTGATCTCCAAATTCTCTGAACTTCTGCAGTATTCAGGGTCGATGTCATATAGCATGGTGCATGACTACGCATTGCCTTCTTGTGCTGTTCCCAATTGTTTCTCATGCCCTGTTTCCCATAGAATGTAAGGTCCTTGAGGGCAGGGTATCTTTTACTCCTTTACTTCTCCCTCATAGTGCCTACCACAATGATACACCCATAGTAGGTGTTCAATACATCTTTGATCTCTCCTTCAAATTTTCTGAAAGTACTTTGTCTGGATGTGGCTTTCCTTTGTATTATGCTTATTTGTGTAGATGATGCCATACTCATACCTAAACTGGAAGATTCCTAACAGCTGGTTCTATGTCATTTTTATTTTTTGCACATCTAGTATTGTGCACAATGCTTTGCATATAGTGGGCTCTTAAATGTCCAGTGAATTAAACTGAATAGAATCAACCACTCTTTCCACCATCTTATCCAAATGCAAACCTAGATCTCCCTAATATCAGCACATTCTTGCAATCTTTTGCAAAGTTAAGTTGTTTCTTCTTCCATTTCCCTGGTTTATGATGGCCAGAAAGGGTTACTGTGCTCTAACCTTCCATGGCTTCTTCTGGAACTAACCTTTCTTTTCAGTTTATGCTGCCTGTGACTATCACTCTCTCCTATCCTTGTTGATGTTGACTACCAACCTCTAGGCCACTCTCAGACTTTTCTCACTGATTTTGGTACCTGGCTCCTAGATTTGCTGTCTCCTGCCACAATCTTTAACAATTTCATGTTTCAAATCCTTTCCCTCTGGGGCAGCTAGGTGGTGCAGTGGATAGAGCACCGGCCCTGGAGTCAGGAGGACATGAGTTCAAATCTGGCCTCAGACACTTAACACTTACTACCTTGTGTGACCCTGGGCAAGTTATTTAACCCTACTGCCTGGCCAAAAAAAAAATCCTTTCCCTTTGACCTCAATCTTCCTCCAGCTCTTCACCTTCAATAACTCATTTTTCATTTTACTTCAGCCACTGATGTGACTATATCTCACACTTTATCATTATTAAGAATTAACTCATCTCCAAGGTCTTAATCTATCCATCATTCATTGATACCACACTGACTTGTGCTTTCTGTGTTCTTCCTCTGACAACGTGATATGATATAAAATAACCGTGAATTCTCAAAACAAAAATTTTAATGCTTTATCAATGCCTTGTGTTTCTTATACCACAGTTATTATTTTCTGATATTTCCCCTCTCCCAATTGAATACTCCCCTGTAATAAAGAAAAACTGTTAAGCAAAACTGATACACAAAAGAGTCTCATGTAACAGCCTCTGCAACATTTTGTTCATGTGGTCCTCTACCTCTTTTACCTTGAGTTTTTGAAGGCTACGTGAAAGAAGAAATCTTGTCAGGGCCTACCAAATGGAGAGGTTTTGAGAATGGGTCTAGTTATAGACTGTATATATATATATATATATATATATATATATATATATATATACACATATATATATTGTCCAAGAATCAGCCTAGCTAAGTTTGGAGAGGGGCAGCTAGGTGGTGCAGTGGATAGAGTGTCAGTCCTGGAGTCAGGAAGACTCATCTTTCTGAGTTCAAATATGGCGTCAGACACTTACTAGCTGTGTGACCCTGGGCAAGTCACTTAACCCTGTTTGCCTCAGTTTTCTTATATATAAAATGAGTTAGAGGAGGAAATGGCAAACCACTCTAATATCTTTTCCAAGAAAGCCCTAAATGGGGTCACAAAGAGTTGGACGTGACTGAAAATGACTAAACAACAATAACCATTAGAAGGTTGGTCATCAGGTGGGTGATTTTTGGGCACTATATCAATTTGTTAAATGATGAAGGCATAAAAGGAAGGATATGCAAACTGCACTGGTCGTGTGAGGGCTCACACTGATGATATCACACATTCTTTCAGTAATGAAGAATGTATCCTTACTAGCCTATAAGTCCCTCAAAGGGCAGAGACCGTCTCTTCATTTTTACATTTCCCACAGTGCCAAACAAGGGCCCTTGCACCTATTAGGTGCTCTGCCTGTTGATGTAATTCTGTGTCCATAATGTCATTTTAGGAACTTATTCTGGGAACACAAATTCCTCATTCTGATTTGGGAGAATGGGTTACAATGATAAGTCAACAGGCAATTACAGCCCTTTCTCTCCCCATCCCCCACTTCTCTCCCCAGGCAATCCCTCTTCTCATGAGCAAGACTCTGTTGTACTCACACAATGTCATTCAATTCCAGCCTTGTGTCTGGTGGAGGGTTGATGAGGACATAGGATAGTGTATTCTGGTGGTCATTCATTTCATCTGAAAAGGGAACAGAGCCAACAGTGTCACTTTTCTCACCTAGGGGCTGCTGCTTGGGTAGGTTAGAAGAAGGAACTTCTTCCTTTATTTTTATAAATGTGATCACAGAGGACCTGCACAAAAATCCTCTGAGGTTTCATCCTAGTGCAAGGGTGGCCCCATGTTCTTGAAGATTATGTCAGTGGAGCCTAAGTTTTGGCTGTTTCTACAAAGATGAAAAGGCTTCAGGTACAGGCCTATGTCTGCTATTTAAGGACCAGCCTCATTTTGTATAGAAGAGCTCATCACCAGTGGGTTGCCCAGTAGGGGATCAATCTTTTTTCTTTATCTTGGCCATGGTGAGCCATGATAAAAATACAAAATGGCTCAAGTTTGAAGAAGAATGCATATTGCCAGATTATAACATGGAGATAGATGAGCAGCCCTTTGTGTTAGTCCGTGGATAATGCGCTGGATAAAGTTAAATAAGGGGAAATGAAGCTGGATTATCATGGGAAAAATATGCAGCATTTTCAATGGTCACAGGTTGCGCCTTGCCATAAAAGCCCAGATTTCTAATGCCAACATTCTCTCAGCTATGTTCTATTGCTGAAATCATAGGATACCATGATCTCAGAAGAATCAAAATCTCAGGTGACTCAAAGAGCAGTGGAAAGATCCATGGTTGAATGTGAGTTGGGTGCTGCTTATTATCTGTGATGACTGCAAAATGCATCATCAAGGACATGCATGACTGGAAAACAAGATGGATTAGTTATACAATAACAGGGAGGGAGCTTGATAGAAAATTTGAGTGGTGCTCTGACATCTAGGAAATTTGAAAGGTCATGGAGAAAGGCTTCCACTACATTGGATGAAATCTCTCATAGCATTTATAGAAAGACATGGACAAGGATGAGTAGGTATGGAGGGGCTGCTGTCTGTATCAGTGATGGAATATTTATATTGGCTTCATTGAAGTATTGAAGCATTTATGGCAGAGGGAATCTTTTGAAGGATCATGAAGACTTCTAGGATCCTAGAGTTCTATACTTGTTTTCAGGGTCTGCTATCCTTTTTCCAAGTGTATGTCCTCTTTTATCAGCCTTCCAAGCCTTCAAGCTGGAGTCTGTCTTCCTTCATGGAGCTTTCTTTGACTACCCCAGACCAGCACAGTTGCTCTTTCTTCTGGCCTCCTGCTTACTATCTGTACAACTCATTGGATACCTTATCAAATGAGATGTTTGTAAAGTGCTTAGTGCAATGCTTGGCACATAGGAGGTGCTTAATAAATGCTTATTCCTTCCCTCCCTTCCCACCTTGGCATAGGCTGCATAGTGTTAGTTCTTATATTGTTTAGCTTTCCATATGTATCAGTCTTGTTCTCCATAACCAGAAGTATGTTCCTCAAAGGCAAAGGGGTATTACCTTCTCTCCATCTATCACATCACCTAGCTCAGGGCTGAGCTCAGGAAGTGTTTTTCAAGTAAATTCACTCTTATCTGGAAGGTGGAGAGGGCAGGGAGCCAGTTTGTCATGAATGGATGGAGCAAAAATTTGAAAAAGTACAGTTAGCTTCTATTCCTTTCTCCTCTCCACCCACTTCCTTGCCCCTTCATCTCACCTCATTGGAACCCAGGAATCCCTTGCCAGTTACAAAGAAAAGAAGACCCAGCTACTTTTCCTAGTCATGGCCACATTTAGTCAATACCTTGGAGAGCTCAGTTTCTTCCTTTTTCTACATGACAGATGTTTGAAAATGGTATTTATATGTATGTAAAGTTTTTTTCCAGGCTAAACATTTGTAGTCTCCTCAACTCCTCAAAGTCCTGTAATTTAATATGTTTGTAAGAAAGAGTCAGTGGCAGTGGCATGTATTAAATGCTTCAATAATTTGATCTCATTTGTGTTGATACTTTCTCCTCAGTATGGAGTCATATCCACCTACATTTTTAAATTCTGTGTGGTTCTTGTCCATGCTTTCCTATAAATCCTCTAAATAGGATTCAGTCAATGCTCTGGAAGTCTTTCCTAGGTCAGGCCTACACAACCTGTGGTTTGCTGGCTGCTTACAGCCCAAGGGCTGCTTATAAGCATGCCAAAGGATTTACTCTCTTTACAAAGGATGTTTTCCTCTACATTTTTCTCAGCTGCCCACAATCCTTTGGTGTGCCACAAGCAGACCGCGGGCTGTAAGTGGCCAGCAGCCTGCAGGTTGTGCAGGCCTGCCCCAGGTCTTTAGGGATGTTGGCACAATGTGGGTTACTTGTTCTCACTACATGGCTGGTTTGCCTCTTGTTCTCACTGAAGATGTCCTTGTGATGTCAAATATATGTTTCAAATAAAGGAAAACTTCGTAACAGTCAGAACTATCTGAAAATGAAATTGATCATGAACTTTCTCCTACTGGAAGTTGCTGATTTTTGACTGAAAACAATCCTGGCAAAACTTGGTAATGTAGGCACAAAGTATTGGACAGCCCCTTGCCCTAGGAGGCACTCAGTAACTTAATAGCTATGACCAACCTTATTCTTTCACTCAGATTGTTTATTCTTCATATCTATAGCCAGAGTCTTACCTTGCCCTTGAGAAAACAATCACATCAGCATTTACTTCAGTGGCAAAAAAGCTATATACAATAAAAGAGAGAAAACAAAAAACAAACGAACAAAAAAAAACCCCCAAACCTTGCCAAGTCAAATAAAACAGCCAAATCTCAGATTCTCCCATTTTAACGATGGCTGTGTTTCTTCAAAATAGAGAATCCAGAGGTTGAATAAAGCCTAGGGTTCTCATAAGGCAGCAGCTAACTAAGGAATGTTCCCAGCTAAAAGTAAGCAATCTAGTCAGAATTTTTACTTAGTGAATGAGCAAGATGTTCTTCCAGGCTATATAGAAGGGTAGAAAGACCCAAACACTACTCCTAACTAACCGTGTGACTTGAAGCATGTTTCTTCATCTCTCTGCATTCCCATTTTCCTTCTCTTCAAAGCAGGGATAACAATCCCTGCCCTGCTCTTCAGATGGCTATTGTAAGAGGTGAATGTAAAACATTTTATAACCTGTAAAGCTTTATAAACTGTAAACAAATCTAAGTTGATATAATTAAAACCATGCTTGTATTTTTTTCCTCTTTCTTGCTAACCCATTGGAGAAAATTCACTTTCTCCACTGGGCCACTTTATTTTAAGCCACCAGTACAACCACCAACATGGACGCAACTGACCTCAATAGCAGAACACCTGAACTGTGGGGGAGAGAAACGTGGATTTTGGGGGTGGCTTATGCCATCGTTCAGCTATGAGTTACAGAGCAGCCAGCAAGGGTATATATGTCAGCAGGTCATGGAGCTGGAGAACTTAGATTGCATGGAGAAATGCATCAACATGGCTTTCCTAATGCTTGAGACAGTTGTGGGCAAGGTGCATCAGGGACAGGATGGAGGGATAGATGGAGAGGTGAGGCCAAGTAGGAGTGGGGAAGGACAGGGAATCGTCATGTTCTGCAAGGCTTCTTAGCGGGAACCCTAGTACCCAGCATTGGGGGACAGGAAGGAAGGGCACCAGACTATAAACTGCTTTCTTCTAACTAACCTTTGTTTGGTGTTAAGCTTGGAAACTGAGAAACTGGAAATCAGTATTTGGATTAGGTTCTTTTAAATAAAATAAAAAAGTATAATTAAATTTAGCACATCTTTGCTAAATACCTCCAGTGTGCCTAGCAACTTGTAAATGAGATCTGGCAAGGCCCAGTTTTGTGAAGGTGATCTTACTTATCAATTTCTTCTCCTCCAACACTTTTTCCTTTTTCCTTTTAAATTCTCTTTGTTTCAATCCATCTTTCTAAATGTTTCTATTGCTCTACTTGGACACATGATCCATTTAAAGACACAGCATAAAAGAGTGACACAGACCTGTGTAAGGCCATCTCCCTGTGCAAAGGAAGGCATTTTTCCTTGTAGGCAAACTAAAATCAGCCCTGATTTCTGACACTTGATTATACAAGGTGTGGGTTTTTGTTGTGTTGGAAGATTGGGTGGAAAAGGCTGGGGAGGATCAGAGCTCTGTTCCTTGGTTTAATTATCTCTCTACTGACTAAGGATGATCTCATTCATAGAACTATGGTACTAAATTCACCTCCCCCTGAATATACCAGGTATATTCTCACCTCAAATGCCTTTTTTCTGGAAGCAGTTCTCAAGGTTCAAGGACCTCTGGGGGTTTCTAAGACTATTTCAGGGGGTACTCAAAGTTGAAACTATTTCCATAATACTATTAAGATGTTATTTGCCTATTAAATATTCCTCCCTTTTCCAATGTATATCTGTGTGAAGACAGATTTTCTTCCTATACTTCAATCAAAACAATATATCATATATAACACATTGAATGCAGAAGCAGATGGGAGAATCTGTCTTCTAATAAGCCAGACCTTAGAGAGATTTGCAAAAATATGTAAAATAATGTCATTCTTCTGGCCATTTTTTGGTTTTAGAAAATAATTGTTTTTTATACTAATATGTTATTTATGTTAACATGTAATGGGTTTGCTATTATTTTAAATGATTTAATAACTCTTTAAAGATCCGTCATTTTAAATTTCTCCCATGTAAACAAAAGCTCTTTGGGGTCCTCAATAATTTTTAAGAGCATAAAGGAGTCCCAAGACCAAAAAATTTGAGAACTATTGGTTTACCGAGTAATCTGCTTTTTCCTCTTTCCTGTCTAAATCTACCCTATCCATCAAGGTCCCCCTCAAATTTCACCCTTTCGTGCGATCTGTCCTGAACCCTTCAGCCCAGTGACTCTTCTTGAACTCCTAAAACACTATGTTCTACTCTTTGGGTACAGATTACATTGATTTCTCTTTTTATGTACACATACCTTGTGTCTCTGAACTTTGAGCTCTGAAGGTAGGGACTATGCCTTATTTATTTTTGTCTTCCCTAAAAGGTCAAATGCAGAGTAGGTGCATAATAAATATTTGCTATAATCATTTTATAGTGTATGTATCTCACTCTTCTTTCATATTGATCTGTGAAATGTCTTCCCTGCAATTAGATTATGAGATCATTGAAAACAGGATATTTGTCTATCTTTTTAGGCCTAGTGTTAGGCCCAGGGCCTTGCCCACAATGGACACTTAACCAAGTTTTATTAGATTGAAATACTTAATTGAATTTGTTACTTGATATTAATAATCTCTGGGATATTTCCAGCGAATCCTCTGAGGGATGATAACAAGTGCACTGTAGGTATAAAATCAAGTTTTCCTCATGGCTTGACCATACGTTCCTGCCCTGTCCATAAGAATGTCACAGGGATGGAGATGTGTTTGCCCGTCAGCACGGCTAGTATCCTGCCCAGGAGCCTTACAGTAAGGAAGGAACGGGGAAAGAGGAGCAGAAAACCAGGAGGGTGGGATGAAGGACAAACAGACCTGTTCAATCTCAGTCATCCTCAGGGTGCAGCCAGTGGCATGATAGGGAGGGGGTGGTGTATGGGGCACTGTGGGCGAGGCTCCCCATTTCACGGAGAAGCCGTTTGTCAAATGGCATCATGCACTGTATACAAGCGTTCACCCATGCATTATACTGCCACTGTCCTGGGGCTGTATGGCCTTAGGACAGATCAGTGTAGGGTACCAATGATACCATTTCCAGGGCAGACTTCATCATTGGCTATGGAGAAGCAACCCACAAAAGGAGAGACTCCTGAGCCTTAGGAATTGGTGTGCCCAAGTCAAGCACTTTTAGAAGTTGGCTTGAGGGGGAAATGGATAAACAGTGAATCTCAGCTTTGGCCAGCACCATCCAGGAAGTAGCAGTATACTATAAAGGCATGGGCCTTCCATGAAAATCATTCCTGGAACCAGGTCTTTGCAGGGAGGTGGGGGCACAAAAGAAAAGCACACGATCGTAAGAAAATGCCAACTTTTCCCATCCACTGCGTTCTAGCCAGGGCTAGAACCCATAAACCCAAGCACATTAAATTCCCTCAAACTGTAAGAGGTTAGAGTGGCCATCCTGATCTCCCTACCTCTAGAGGCCTGATATATACATTCCCAGAACCTTACTGCCTTTCAGTCTAGGACAGCAGTTCTTAACCTGGAGCCCATGAATTTATCTTAAAAAATATTCCAATAACTTTATTTCAATATAACCAATTTCATTTGCAATCCTATGTATTTCATTTTATGCATTAAAAACACTATTCTGAGAATAGGTTTATAGTTTTTACCAGATTTCCAGAAGGGTCCAGGACACAAAAAAGTTTTAGAACTCCTGGTTTAGGGTATTTCTAAGCACTACTGGGCAGTGGATTTCCCTCCAGTTCTAGGAGAAATACTTAAACTTAGCTTAAAACTCTGGCTCTGGATAAGTCTTAAGGCCAAGTCCTCTCATCTGGAAATGCTCAGGGGTGTATCAGGCATGTGGTAGTTTCAGGGGCCTTTGTTTTAGTGGCAAAGGAAGGTAGTGACTGCTGGGGGGAAAGATTCTACTGAGCAGCCTCTCCCCTTGAGTTACCCCAAATAGAAGGACTGGTAGCTGAAAATGAGTAGAAGGCTTTCAACTCTCAGCCTCTTCTAAGCCTAATGTTACTCTTGTTAAAGGGATGCTGGAATTGATGGAGCCTTCTGATTAGAATTCCAAGCTCAACATTAATGAATTACATCTAACAGGGATTCTTAACCTGGAATACATGAACTTTACAAAAAAATCTTTTTGGTAGCTGTATTTAATTATATTTGTAATTATATAAATTTTCAATTAAAAATATTATTCTGTGAAGGAGTCCATAGACTTCACCAGACTGTCAGAGGGATCCAGGACATACAAAAAAGGGGGAAAGCCCCAATCTAGAACAGAAAGCTTAACCAACTCAGATATGAATTTTGAACATAGCACAATTCTGGAGGAGGCTGGGCTGAAATTTCCCTGCTACTAACTATGGCAAATTTGTTTAAATAAATGAATAGCAAAAATGATACAGGATATAAAAGTTGATTTCAGGTAACGAAAATAATAGGTCACATTGCTATGGCACTTTCAGATTTCTACAGTGCTTTTCTCATAACAATCCTGTGATGTTGGTAGTATAAGTATTCTTATTATTTTATAGATGGAAATTATCATAGAAAGGGAGATTATCATTTTATAGAGGAAACTGAGGCTGAGAGGTGTAAATGGTCTTGCCCTTGTTCACTTAGCTATTAAGTATCAGGGCTGGGATTGGAACCCAGGCTCTCAACTCCATGTCCAGGGTTCTAGTTTCTACCAGAAGCCCCCATTTCCAAAGCAACAATTGATACGCAAATTGCTGATTGGTTATAAAAGGTCAAGCATGGGCCTGTATTGGCCAACATTCTTCAAAGAGAATTTTCATTGATTGTTCCTTCCCTGATCTGGTCTTAGTGCAAAGTGAGTGAGTATGCTCTTCTGTCTGGTGTAAGTCTAGGGTAAGAGAATGCCCCTCACTGCTGTATCAAAAGTATTGAGTGGGGCTCGAGCGTCATTATTATTAATGCCCAAGGACCACAGTGTTAACATCTGGGCTTTTTTTTTTTTATTTTTACAGTTATCTTTGGAAAAGGAGCCCTTTAAGGGAGTTTGGTTTAGGGGAAAAACTTAAACAACCCTGGAATGAGAGTTGGCAGACCTGGGTTCCAGTTCTGATTTTGCCTTAGCCCTTTGAACTAGCTGTAAGACACTGAGTAAGTCGCTTTTCTGTGTACCTCAGTTTCCTTACTATGAAATGGGGATAGTAACCCCTGCTTTCCAGAGCACTGATTTGAGTATCAATCTCAGTCCCTGGTCTTTATTTGAATATTATTTTCTTTTCAGGGGTACCCTTTAGTTCAGGGTCCCAAATATCTCTATCCTCTTCTGCTGTAGCCCAACCCAACCAGAAAGGGAGGGGCTGGTTGGGGAGGCACCAGTCAGTGGAGGGAGCTGGCATGTTCCTAACATGCTTGTGTGCTCTGAGTCGGGCTCGACTCTCTGTGGGGAGCAGAATTACCTTGCAAATATCCAAGGTTTACACGATTCATCACATCACTGGCTGTTAAATTTGCTACATCCTCTACAGAACACACAGAAAGAGGTACAGACATAAACAAAGAGAGAAAGAGAAAGATCAGCAAGCGGCGATTGGGCAAGTATCAGAGACGGAGGAAGGCTCCGCAGCTTGGACCAGCGCGTGGAGGGGGAAAGGAAGTAGAGGAGAAAAAAAATAACAAGGCTAGAAGGCAGACCAATGCGCGCGCCCAGGTTGCTGGGTGTATCAGATGCCCCAGATGCCCCAGCAGCCTGAGAATGAGAACGCAGCCAGGAGAGGATAGCCCACCGGAACAAGATTCCAAGGGCGCTAACACGCGGGAGTTAAAGGATGACGTCCAAGTACTTCTTGTTCCTTCCTAAGAACCTACTGCCATTTAAGACCTTCACGCTTGGGGCTGCTTTCATTGTGAAGGGAGCCAAACTGGATTTCTCATGCAGGTTCCCATACTGCAGAGCTGGCCTGTGGCTGAGCTGGGCCATTGGTCAAGGTTACCTTTGAAATTCTATCTCTCATTGCCCCTTTCCCCTGTCCTCCATTAAATTCCATCCCCCAGGTCTCTTGGAAAATGTCCAGTGAGCTAATTCACACTAATGTATGAGTGATTGATAATAGCTCAATCTCATTACCTTTCCCAGAGGTAACATTTAATAGCAGAAAATACCTTAAGTACTAGGGGCACTCTTGCACAATGATTATAGGGCTGGAGGTAGAGTCAGGATGACCTGGATTCAAATCCTGCTTCTGACACTTAACCAGCTGTGTGACCATGGGTTTAGCTCAACCTTTCTAAGACTCAGTTTCCTCATCTGTAAAATGGGTTGGACTAGATGGTCTTTGAGGTATGGTGTTTTTATTTGGAGGTGAGTAGCTGAAGAGTGTAATCAAGGACCTTGTGTTGGCTCTGAGAGTTTGGGTTCCATGAACATGCATAAAGCTGGATTCAAGTCTTTATTTTCCATGAAGTGTGTGTGTGTGTGTGTGTGTGTGTGTGTGTGTGTATGTGTGACAGAAAGAATATTATTTAGGAGTAGTGTGAAAGTTCTGGCTCTGTAGGTAGGGTTCCTTTCTCCTTCTCCCCAAAACTTTCCCCTGCTCACTCAAATGTGATTGTGATTTGTTTCTAAAAATTCTTATTCTGAATTGGCTTTGGAGGTAGCAGAGATTCCAGGATTCAAGATTCATAGTATGTTCTATAATATAGTATGAAATATAGTAATATAATAGAGTATGGAGGCTCATATTTAACGACCCAAGAGATACAAATAATAATACACACAATTACAAACCAAAAATTTTCAATTATTTGCCATTGGTGGAAAAGGGAATAGAGAAGTAGTTAGACCACAATACTGGATCAAAAAATCATTTTAGTTACCTTTGAAAGGCAGCATAGTGCAGGGGAAAAAAGAGTGGATTGGGAATCAGAGGATCTGTATTCAAATTCTATGCTGTCTACTACAGAAGCAGCTAATGTTACAGTGAATAGAACGTTGGGCCTGGAGTCAAAAAGACCTCAGTTCCAAGATAGCCTTAGAAACTTACTAGCTGTGTGGTCCTGGGTAAGTCACTTAACCTCTGTCTGCCTAAGTTTCCTCAACTGTAAAATGGGGATAATAATAACACCTACCTCTCAGGGTTGTTGTGAGGACCAAATGGGATAATATTTGTAAAGTGCTTAACAGAGTTCCCAGTACATAATAGGAGTTTAATAAATGCTTATTCCCCTTCCCTTCCTTCCTCTTTTCCTCCTACCCCTCATGATACCTGTGTGACCTATGGTAAATCACATCACTTCCCCTGTTCCCAGTTTTCTCATCTGTAAAATCAGGGTCTTGAAATTTATGATCTCCATAATCTCTTCCATTTCTACATTCCATGATCTTATGATCTCATGAATAGGTCTTTGTATTTTAATATGTGCACATATGATACTCTGGGGATACCATACCATTTAAGGTAAACGTTAAAGTTATATTGTGAAAACCAGCCTTGAGAAAAACTGAAAAGCTCTCTGCTTTCCTCATTCTATCCACCTGCTCCTTACTCATTGTTTCTTCTTATTTCATATGAGAGGCAGACATTACCATCTAGGGCAGCTAGGTGGCACAGTGGATAGAGTGCCTGGCTTGGAGTCAGGAAGACCTGAGTTTAAATTTGACCTCAGACACTTATCGGCTGTATGACCCTGGGGCAAGTCACTTAACCTCTGTTTGCCTCAGTTTCCCCTTTAAGTAAAATTGGGATAATAAAAACATCTACCTCTCAGGGTTGTTTTGAGGATCAAATGAGATTAATATTTGTAAAGTGCTTAGCTCAATGTCTCCCACATAGTAGGTGCTATATAAATGTAAGCTATTATTAAATGATTGTCAGCGATGCTAGTCCTGGCCTTTCTCTTTCTCCACTTGCTGCAATGTGGTCCTTGAGTTGGGGGCTAGTAAGGGTTCTGGTTTTTAAAGTGTCTTGCTGGGCCTTGTATCTACATGGGTTAGATGGGGAGTGGTGTCATCCTCATGTACTTGCTCAAAGAATTATGCTCACCCTTAAGAACTTGACCATGAGATTTTCTGAGGATAATGCAGAGGCAATTATGTTTAAAAAAAACCCAACCAAAAAGCAACAACAGAAGAGAGGAGAGAGGAGCTGGGAGGATGAGTTCATGCTTCTGCTGCCCCACCCTAACTTCCAAGTGGAGGTCTGTTCCTGATAATTTTGGTCTTTAAAGGCTGCAGAGATGTGACCTTGTGGTTTCCTGCTCTGAAGATCAGCCTCATGGCAGACAGACAGACACACACACACACACACACACACACACACACACACACACACACACGAAATGAAAGACTCGAGCTCCCAAGTGGCCCATTCAGGCCCCTCAGATTGATGTAACATGATCCCACCCAAACTATTTGAGCTTATCTACCCCTTTTCCCCAACTCACACCCTTCACTTTGGTCTCCTGTGCTTTCCCCTAGACATCCCACTCAACTTGGCCTCCACATCACAGTTCACTGCTCTCTGGGACAGAGCAGAGGGTGATGCAGGACCAGACTGGGAACCGGGAGGTTGGTTTCCTTCTCCTGGATCTGCCACTAACTTACTCTTTGACCTTCTCTTGACCTCAGTTTCATCATCTGTTAAATGAGGAGGGCAGGTTAGATGGTCTCTAAGGTGAGCAGCTGTGGAAACACATAAATAGCAGGATGCGTGTCTTTAAAAAGAAAAATGCAAGAAAATCAAGGACTAGGGACTTCAGCACAACTTAGAGGTGGACTTCAGGCCAAATTCAGGATGGATTCCTGGCTTGACACTGTGCACCCTGGGACTTATACTTGTCTGAACCCTAAGGTCTAACTCCAAAACAGAGACCTCCCCACCCTGCCCAGAGATATACCCTCATCATACAGGAGGGGAGGGGAAGGAGGCTCATGGGGTGGGGTGGGTTGGGGGGGGCGCATCTCTAGCACAGCTGTGGAAAAATGTTCCTTGGTTAAGACCACACGTGTGCTAAGTCACAGATACTCTCCTTCTCCCCAGCTGCTATAAAATGAGGAGATTCTCCCCAGATCCTGGAGACGCGTTAACTCCTCAAGGCCCAGGGTGCTTAACGGAATGTGGTCAGACGTCTCCTTTCTCACCTTCCACTTACCATAGCCTGTGGTGGGGAGTCCGAGGTGTTTCATTCGGTTTTTGACGAGCTCAGACAGCTCCTGCCGTTCTGAACGCCTATAGAGGCTAAGGCGCTGCTGGTTGATCCACTCAGCTGTCTTGCTTGTGTTCTTGTGACCTTTGCGACTGAGGCGGCGGGCCCACTGCATGCTCTTACGCCGGAGGAGGGGGTGATCGGACTGGTCGCTGGCGCAGGAGTTGCGGTGAGGGCGGTGGTGGCTGGTTCCACTCCCGGACCTACTACCCCAGGGCTCCTTTACATCCTTGGTGTCCTCACAGTCCTCCACATTAACGGAGATTTGGGACTGGAGAAACCAATGAAAATTGGTAAGGTAAGGGGGAGAGGCAGCAGGACAAAGTAGGAAAAAAACACGGAAGTAGGAGCTTGAAGATCTGGGCTCTCATCCCAGCTCTGGCGCTATGCCGTGAGTCATTTCTCTACTCTTCTTCTTAGTGGCCCTATTCTGAGAGCAACATTTGCAGCTTGAATAGTCTACTTTTTTGAATATGATCTATTTCCAAACTATGCCTGATGTTGGAGGACTAGCTGAGCTAAATCACCATCAAGTTGAAGGCAGGGTATTGAATATTTTGACAATAGTAACTCTCCCAAAACGTTGATGTCCTGTGTTAATAGGGAGGGGGAGGGGCTACCTACACCGATGAAATCACAGATGTTTGAATTAGGGTTAATGGCAGATGTTGGATAACTAGAGAAACACTTGTACATAACATTTAGTATTTGTGCCACAGAATGATAGAGAAATATATTTAATTCAGCACATTATTGTAAACTGTCCTCTAAGAAATTGGTTTCATTTGCTCTCTGTCTTCTTCACCTCGTTGTCCCAAGTACACCATAGGCAGAGAACGTGATCCTTCCTCTTACTGTCCCCACTGTGCCTCTAACCCAGGGACGGGGCTGTGGGGAGCTCAGTAAGTACTTGAGTGGACTTTGAATGACTGGAATTTTGTTCTTTCATTGCAGTAAGAAAGCAGAATAGAGTTAAAAAGAAGCAAGACACCCGGTTCTTTGGCCACACCACTTCATGTAGCAAATCTCTAAGAACATCTTTTGTCCTCCCTGCTGCCCCAGCCTGAGCCAGAGCCCAAAGGATCTGTGCCAAAGCATAGCATCTTTATCTGTATCAGTTCATGCAACCTGGGACTTTATGGCTCAGGTAGGATTTTCTATAATGATTGTGAGGTACCAAATTGGCTTTTTAAAAAATTCAGTTAACGTTTTAAGGGCAAATATTACTCACCTGGGCTCTGAGGTCATGAGGCTGTACAAAAGAAAATTACATGCAGTTTGGGTTAATTCAGAATGTATCACCAGTCTTCCAGACTCTGCTTGCCCCCCGGCTAGGCCCTAAGTCTTAGGCCACGGTCCACAAGAAAGCAGGGGCTCACACCCTCTGAACTGAACACTATAGAAAATCCTTAGAATCAGATAATCTGATTTCTCTGATAATTACACCAGCTGGCAACACAGGGGCTTAGAACCAGACTCTCGGTGCAAGCCCATTGCGCGCTGAAGTTGATCCAAGATCTCAGGGGATCAGCTTGGCATTCTCTAAAAGGAATGCCTCTTTCACCTGCTGTGTGGCGCCATATTTCTTAGCTGTTCTACTGTGTATCACCAGGGGCACACTGGCTCTTGATGCTGTAGCAAATTAGCATCTAAATACTGTGTTCACAGCAGGATGGCACACCAGGGATTAAAGAAAAAAACCCACGGGTAAATTAAAAGAGAAAAGCCAAAGAACAGAAGAGTAGAGCTGGCAAATGCAGAGATGCTTGTGGCTTTGTAGTTCCCAAGGGTTGTGGAAAGAGTTACAAACCGGAAGCGAGGGACTTGGATTATATCCTTGGATTTGCGACTAACTTTTTGGGTTTCCCTGGGCAAACTCCTTCTACAGTCTAAGCCTCAGCTCAGCCATCTGTTAAATACATTGGATTAGATGGTCTCTGAGGTTATTTCCAGTTCTGATATCGTAGGTACCCATAAGAACTAAACTGAATTTCTCAACAGTGAAATTCCCAGCAGCACTGATGGGAAGGCTCCTCCCCTGGGACATTATGAGAGTGAGTCATGTGAGTTGACAAATTCTGGCGGTGGCCCATTAGTAAACTGCAGGGCTTGGTTCCATTCCCTACCTCTGATGTGGAAAACATGTGAGACTCTGTCCTATAGATGCCAATGGGGATCTCAGCACTGGATGAGCAGAGCTTCTGAAAGAGGCGGCCGTAAGTCCGAATCCAGAGGTCATCATCTGTGATCTTCATCTGGGGCAAGAAAAAGTCTTTTAGGAAGGGACTGAGCACTGAGACTGGCAAGCCTTTAAGGAGCTCTTAAAAAATCGAATAACATGCGAACTTTTTAGTCTGTTCCTCAAAGTCCTTGTTCACAGTTTAGATGTAATCTACTTTTCTCATCTTAGTGCACATTACACCCTTTATTAGAGCCTAACCTTGATTATTTGGTATTCCCCAAACATATCCTGTGCTTTTCTTCCTATATACCTTTTTCTTACATTATTCCCTATCCCTAGATTGCCACCATCTTCAAATCCAACATCTCATTCAATGCTCAGGCCAAATTACATTCTAATTCAAACATTGGTTAAATACCTTGGATGTGCAAGGTACTATGCTTGGTGCTAGGGGTGCTAGATACAATCTAGACCTTACTCCTAAGAAGCTTACATTCTTTTTTTTTTTTTTTTACAAATTCCTTCTAATTATTTATTTTATTAAGAAGTTTTTAACTTAAAAAAATTAGGAGCAAAAGACATATACACAAATGATTGAGGTACAAGGGAGAGGTCCAGGCAAAGTGCTATGAAATTTGAGGGATGGGAAGAGATCACTTTAATTTGGGCCAATGGTTGTTAGGAAAGGCAAGGTGATGGCACAAGTTAGATCTTAAAGAAAGGGAAGGACTTCGACAAATGGAAATTTGAGAGGTGCATTGTGGTGGTAAATTGGGGAAGGTAATCCATTCCAGGTGAGTGGGATCATATAAAAATGGCATGGGTATAGCACACTAGAGGAGGGGGATATAGTATGATCTAGTTTGGTTGCAAGGTAGAGTGGCTGGAAGGAGAGTAGTCTGAAATAAGCTAGACATTTTTTTGTGTTATTTCAAAGGCGATGGGGAGCCAGTGAAGATTTTTTAAGCAAAGCAGTGGCAGGATTCTAGGAAGATTACTTGGGCAGCAGTGTGAAGACACTGGAGAAGAGATAAACTGGAGACTGGAAGACCATTCAGGCAGGGTACTCTTCACTGAAGAGCGTCACTCAGTGGCTGGATGATCACTTGTTGGATAGGCCATAGTAGGGATTCCTTTTGCGTATAGGTTAGACCAGGAGACTGCTGAAGTCTCTGTCAACTCTCATACTCTTTGATTCTGTAATTTTGCCATCACAGTAGACCATAGATGGGGGCTTGAACTAGGGTGGCTACTGTAGGAATGGAAGGGGACCAGATGATGGAGATATTTCTAAAGTAGAATTGCCTTAACATCTATTTTGTACCTCAAACTCAACAAACCTAAAACCCAATTCATCATCTGCACCCCTTTTCCCCCCATCTGGGTTTTTTCTCCCAGCTTGCCTATTTCTGTTGATGACACAACCAACCTGTCAGTCACTCTGGTTTGACATCTTGGAATCCTCCTGTACCCCCACCTCCTACACCTAATTAATTGCTGAATCCTGTTGATTCTCCTTTCAAGTCTCTCACATCTACCCCTTCCTTTCTACATCTTCTGATCCTACTCTAGTTCAGTCTCTTATCACCTTGAATTTAGACTGTGGCGATAGCTTCCTGATTGATGTATTTTATACATTTAAAAACATAATTCTGAGGTGGGGTCTGATGGCTTCACCAGACTGCCAAAAAGGTCCAACTCATAAAAAGGGTCAAGAACCCATGATCTAGAGCTGAAGGGACCTCAGAGGCTATGTTATCCCATAGTCCAACCCCCTCATTTTACAGATGATACTGAAGTCCAGGTGATTCACCCATGGTCATACAGGTGGTAAAGGCAACAGATGGGATTTGAATCCAGGTTCTCTGACTCCAAATTCAATGAATGCTTTTTCCATTGTACTATCATGCTGCCTCTCTGAGAATCAAAGATGATGCCAATGTCAAGAGCCTGAGTGAGTAGGAGGATGGAAATGCTATTACCAGATATAGAGGTTAGAGGTTGGGAGGGCAGATTTTAGTAGGGGAGGAGACAATGAGGTTGGTTTTGGACCTCTTGAATTTGAAGCATTGTTCCAGGACCTCTAAGTGGAGTATCTAGGAGGTCAATGGAAATATAGAAGAAACTATCACTTACAGCACAGAGATATCCTGATCCTGGGGTTGTGTCAAGACCCAGCAATAATCTTGTAATTGAGATCATGTAGTCCTTCACAAATGACTAGGAGAAGATGAGGAAAGGATAGAGAGAAAGCAAGAATTGAGTAAAATGGCACAGATAACTATGTATACAGATACCCTTCCCATCAAACACATATATCTAGACTGTCATCTGTAAGGCCTGTCATCCAACAGACTGTTGCATATGTGAACATACACACATACACACATGAACATCCATAGGAATGATAATGATCTGAGCTTGGCCCCAGAGAAGAGTTGAGAAAATGCGCTTCTCCCTTTTTTGCAGAAGTGGGAGCCTTTGCAGGTGAAATTTTGGATATATTGTCAGATGCAGTTGATGTTGGTTGGTGTTTTATACTGCTTCCTCCCACCCTTCCTTTTAACTTTTTTTTAGTCACAATAGATGGCTTATGGGATGGGGGGAAATGATACACTTGAAAATGAATGCAATGTAAAGACAGAAGGTGTCAGTAACTTTTTTTATAAAAGGACATACATAACACACACACACACACACACACACACACACGAGATTTCCCCCCACCCAGACAAATCCCACAAGGCAAAACTCTTTCCCTTTGCTTTCTCTTTGCTCTTCTACTGACTGTTCATGGCTGCCCAGACCTCATGGGGCAGCAGAGTTATGATGAACTGCCAGCAAGGGGAGTCCTTCTTTTTTGCCTTTCCTTTAGTCCTCCCTTGACCTGAGACTAGACCCCACAGGGTGGCCAGTTGGGAATAACAACATGGCTGTTCATACCGCTTGGATGAGCTGGAAATCACCAACTACTAATCTTTCAGAGAGACAAAGTACCACCAGCTTTACCATCTGCCCTCCTTCTACATCCTAAAGTTTTCTAAGACTTTCTATTAGCCCTGTTGATATGAGTTCCAGACCCCTAGCTGACCTGCCCTAAAGACTACTGCCATTAGGACTTTTGGGTCTTTTTATCTAACCTATTCACTGAATTCTTTTATATGGATTATCTCCCCCAGTTAGAGCAGGGATCATCTAGTTTTGTATCTTCTGTGTTAACTACAGTCCTTGGCACATAATAATCACTTAATAAATGCTTTTTTATTTCATTTCATTTCATTGCACTTCATTTCATTCATTCCTACATTAACATCTATGCACGGAGTCTACCTCATCCCCAAAACACATATCAAGAGACTGTCACATTTGGACACATACGTACTTAGCCACCATTGAATATACATACTGTTGTATGCATGGACAGACATACACAGACTTTCTGCAGTGTACCCCTTCCTTCCCTTAGTTCACACACAACACACAGAATGCACAAACACACAGAATCCCTCTCTTATCCAGGAGAAGCGCTTTGAGTCATCCACTTTGTCTGGGTGCAAATCTCACCAGTGCCTCACCTGATAGAGCAAGGTATCCAGCATGCTAATACTGAAAACTCTGCCTGCTGCAAATGGAAGGCGAAACATGAATGCCAGATTGGAGCCATTCTCTCTCTCCCTCTGTAGCAAAGAACAGAACATAAAGTTTAGGCATTATTTAGAGGGAAAGAATCAGAAAATCATAGCAGTGGGGTCCCCATGAAACACCAAGGTTTGGTTACACCAAAGGGAAATCTTCTAGGAAAAAGCCCACACACTTGATGGCAATAATTAAGTTGTTCATTAAATTTTTCCTGGACTCCTTCAAGAATCCTCTGAAAGATCTAATCTCCTGATAATCCCATCTTGTCTTTCTTAAGGTTCTTCCTAGCTTCCAAGATGGAACTGACAATAGCAGGATATAGAACAAATTGGGCTTTTCACAGAAACTTGAGATTAAAACCCAGGGGCCTGGCCAGCACAAACCGTACCTTTTCCAGTTTGGAAAGAGCCAATGAATAGCTGTCTTTGGCCCGGAACTGCATGAACCTCATATTTGATGGGTGAGTCAATTCAGTTATGATACTGAGACTTGGGAACAACCTAGAGAAAAAAGAGAGACAAGAAGGGAGGATAACTGTTAGGAAGGAGAGTTGTCAAGGCCTGGAGATAAGAGGAAGGTTTCCCCAATATATAGCTGCCTTAGAAAGGGAGGTCCAACCTGCAGGCAGGAGTAGAAACTTGGCTTATAGAGTTTTAGAACTGGAAGGGAATAGATATCATTTAGTATAATATTCTCATTTTTCAGGTGTTCAGACTAAAAGACACCCAGAAAGGGAAATTAACTTGTCTCATGTTTTGTGTCCCCCTTGAAATGTGGCATGTGAAAATGAAAGTAAGACTGAAGGTTGGACAAGATGGTCTCTTCTCTAGCTCAACAATCTATAAAATCTTGATGTAATCCAATCAGGGTGGAGGACAACAGAAAGAACATTAGATTGAGTCATGGGATCTTGGTATAAATCCTGGCTTTGTTAGGGTATTACGTATGTGACCTTGGGAAAGTCAATTTTTCCTGTTTGTAAATAATGGTAATGTAAATAATGAAACTAGATCAGAGAGGTCACACACATGGCCCATAAGCCAGATATGGCCCACAATACTCTTGAGCATGGCACAAACCAAACTAAAATATAATTGGGAAATATGTAACATAATAAATAAAAATACAGTAACACATAGATAATCTTAATATGTGTTTTTCTAAGTCAACATGTGGCTTACAGGAGTCCTTTTGTATGGTTATGTTGCTTCCATTTTTTCTGTTTAAGTTTGACACCACTATACTAGATGATCTCTAAGGTTCCTCTAGTTGTCTATCCATCTATCAATGTAATCTTGGACATATTCTTCTACCAAATCCCATTAACATAGATGGATTTATCAGGTTAGCCACTTGTCATTTTAGAGGGAACAGAGCACTGCAAGAATGAGATCTTGGCAAGTTTCAGTGGAGGAGAGGAAGACATGATGGCTCCAGACCAGGGAGGGCAGTACTAGGATCACAATATGTCCTCTCCAGACAGTGAATAAATAGTGTCTCATCTTCTCCCCATACTCACCGGAACATAGTCTGCACATTTACGATGGTCTTGGCATCTGCCATGTAATCCTCCTCGGCACTCATGGTGCTCTCCTTGTCCACGACCACCAGGTTATCGGCGTATATGATACCACATTGTAGTAGGCTATCCAGGCTAAGAGAGACCCAATATATCACATAGAGAGAGTGTTGGAGAAATGAGACCAGAAAAGACTGAGACCCTGGTGGGAACTAGGCTGGAATGCACACTGAGGAGAGATACTGAAGGGCTGGATGGAAGCTGAGAAGCTTGAAGAGAACAGGAGTTGTGAAGAAAGCCTGAGAGGATATGGGCTGGACAGGGACTGATGGGTGAGCTCAGGGGAGGGATCTACCACACACCAACATATCATGCCACAAAACTTGAGAGAAGGCACCTTTCAGACCTCTTTCTCAGAAAATTTTGAAGCCTGAGAATTCAGCCACCATCCTATTTCCTTTTCCATCCATGGGAGATGTTCCTATGTGGCTATGGGAAGTTTGGATATGATCCACATTTTCTCCCATGGCTTCTAGGGGCAAGTAAGGAGGAGGGAAAGTTTGGGTTTGAATTGCTTCTCTTTCCTCCAATCTACCACAACCCTCAACATTAGCCCTAATTAGCATCTGATTGACTTCCCTATGGGATAAAAGCCAAGGGAATAAAAAGTGGATAAGAGGAAATAGAAGAAGCAAAGAAGAAGTGAAATTAGGAGGACAGGAGGAAAGGGAAAGTAACTAGGGAGGAGTTTAATCCTGTAATTCTTGGTTATTTCTAAGATATTCTGGCATGGGGCTAGAGAAGGCATGGTGGCTCACTTCCACTCCCCACTATGAAGCCCTTCTCTTTTCTCTACCTAACACAAAACAGTTTGACCCTTGAACTGACTCTTACTTGTCAACTGAGCCTTCCATATAGTAGACCATAGGGAAACAGCAGATGGCTTCAAGGAAGTGGTGATCTGGCCTGTGGGGACACAAACACCAAAGGTCAGGGAGGAAATAAGCTCAAAGTCCTAAAGCTAAGCCTGGTGCAGTTATTGGCCCCAAGGTTTCTCTGGTCCTGGACATTTTTATCTAATGTGCAACTCTGGGTGATCTTGGCTTAAGTGGCACCAGGGAGAGAAGGAGGCTATGGTAGCCAACATCTAAAGGGAGCTGGACTATTCCTTGGACTTTCCCTTCTGTCTTATCCCCAAATATGCCTAACTTAGGCAGGAGCTGCCATAATTAGACATAATCTACAATCATCCCAATTGGTCACTCAGACTTAGTGAATTATATTCTAGGGACATGTAAATTCACCTTTGAAGACTGGCCAAGATCCCCTGGGGGTAACTATTCTGTTTGGGAAGGAAAGAATAAAGGCAATGTACACTTGTGGAGACAGTACTGGCTTTGAACCATAGTACTGTAGAATTTCTGAGTTAAATGAGGTTATCTAGTTAGTCAGAGGTCATATAGCTCATTCCTGAGCCAAGTCTCAGACAGGTGCTCATGTAGCCTTTGTTTAAAGACTCCTCTTGGTTTAAAGGGTAGAGGTGGGGTGAAGGGACCACTGCTGTCCAAAGCAGTCCATTCCACTTTTGGATAGTTCTAATATCAGGATGATTTTCTTTACACAAAGACTAAACCTGCATCTCAGCAATGTCTAACCCAGGGTGGGGAACCTGCAACCTTGAGGCCCTTCTAGGTCCTCAAGTGTAGCCCTTTGACTGAATCCAAACTTCACAGAACAACCTCCCTTAATAAAAGGATTTGTTTTGTAAAACTTGGACTCAGTCAAAAGGCCTCACTCAAGGACCTAGAAGGTCACATGTGGCCTCAAGGCCACAGGTTCCCCACCTCTGGTCTAGCCAGTTTCTAGCTCTGCCTTCTGGCACCACGTAGAATGAGTTGAATTCCTCTTCCACACAACAGTCGTTCAAAAACTCAAAGGCCAGCGTTGAGTTCTGTCTCAGGTCCTTTCTTCTCCAAGTAAAGTATTCTAATTTCTTCAGCTGATCCTTGAATGGTATGGTCTTTAGTCCCCTCACTAACCTGGTCACATTCAGCTGATTGGTCTCTAGCTTCCTAAAGTATGCCACCCAGAACTAAAAATAACTCTCAATATGTGGTTAGAATAGGATAGAAGACAGCAGAACACTGCCCTTGTTCTAGATACCAAACCTCTCAATGTGGTCCACATTAGGGTTGTTTTGTGGTTTTGTTTCTTGCTCCCATATCGTACTGTTGACTGAAAATGAGTCCACTAAAATGCCGTTGTTTCTTTTTTTTTTCTTTTCTTTTAACAGGAATGGCTCTCTAGCTATACCTCCCTGATCTTGTACTTATAAGGTTGATTTTTTGAACCTGAGTGTAGGATTTTGCATTTGTCTTTGTGGACTTTTACCTAATTAGATTTGGCTTATTGTTTTGCCTATTGAGATCTTTTTGGATCTTGATTTTATCATTCCACAAAGTAGCTGTTTCAGCATTGTGTCATCTACAAATTTGACAAACCTGCCATCGATGCTTTCATCTATGCTGTAGATAAAAATGTTAAGCAGTAAAGCGCTAAGGACAGATTCCTGAGGCACTACACGAGAAGCCTGCTTTCTAGTTGACATTGAGCAATTACAGGCTATTTTTGGGCTCCAATTATTCAACCCATTGAGAATCTACCTAGCTGGACTCATCTTGTCTTCATCTCTCCATCGTATGTAAGATAATAACAGGAAGAGACTTTGCTGAATATTATTAAATGACTTCCACATTTTCTCCTGATCTACCAGTATAATAACTCTCATTATGAAGGAAATTAGTTTCGTCTATTTTAAAATAAATTTCTTGGTACCTTTTGTTTTGACATCACAGTAATTTCTACATATACTCTCTTTGACCAGGATCTCCCCCCCTTCCCTGTGAGCATTCCATTATAATAAGGACAAAGTAGAACCAACTGACATACTGTACTGGACTTTTGCTAGATGAAGTCATTCTGGTTCCTAGCAACTAATTTCTTCTCCTACCAAATGCTCATAAACGCTACTTTTAATAATAAATTCTAAAATCTGACTAAGAATCGAAGTTAAAGTCACCTGCTTATAGTTTGTGGATTCTACCCTCTTCCCTGTTTAAAAAAAATTGGGATAACATTTGCCTTTCTATGTCCCTCTGCTATTATCCACAGCCTTTTGGAGCTTGGAGGACATCATGGTGAAGTGAAAAGGTGCTAGACTGAGCATTAGGGTTCAAATTTTGTATCTAAAATTTGCTAGCTGTGTAGCTGTGAGCACGTCATTTTAACTGTCTGGGTTGCAGTTTCTTCATTTGTAAAATGTGCATAAAAATACCTAGAATCCTCACCTCATGGGATTGTTGTGAGGATCAAATAAGACAAAGAAGGAAGAAAGGAAATAAGCATTTATTAAGCACCTAATATATATACCAGCCACTGTATAATATTAACTAGTATGTGCCAGACACTTTATACATATCATCTCATTTGTAAATATTATTTTATTTGATCTTCACAACACCCCTGTTGTAGGTACTATTATTATCTACATTTCATTATTACCTCCAATTTTACAGGTGGAGAAACTGGGGCAGACAGGTTCCATGACTTGCCCATGGTCACACAGCTAGTAAGTGTCTGAATCCAGATTTGAACTCAGGTCTTCCTGACTCCAGGCCCAGTGCTCTATCCACTGTGTTATCTATTTGTATATAAAGCACTTAGCAACCCTTCAAGCATGGTATTAATGTCACCACCATCACTGACAGTTGTGGGGCCATCACATCCACTGTTTCTTTCAGTGCCTTGGCTCATTCAAGCCTGGTGACTTGAACTCATCAAGACTACTCTTGAAGGTGAGAGCTAGAAGACAGCATGTAGTAGAATGGATTCTCAGGTGGCTGAATGACTGGCCCCCAAAGGAGCCTTGAATGTCTCCGTGTCAGCCTGAAGGGAGGTCTGTAGTACAGGGCCTATATCTGTTTCCTCACTATCTCTTTATGGGTTTCGTCTCCCTGTCAGCTATTTTTGCTCTGTCCTTCCCAAGGCCAAGATCATTCTCTTTGGCAGGGAAAACAGAAGCAAAAGAAAAAGGTTGATTAGTTTTGCTTTCTCTCCAGTGTTGATTATCAGTTTCTCACATATCCTGAGCAATCGTACTCCTTTTTGGAACCTCCCTCTGTCTCCCCCACAATGTAGTTTTCTTGAAAAGCCCCTTTTGTGGTCCTTAGTCTTCACTGAGAGGCAGTATGGCATAATGGATAGAGACCTGGCCTCAAAGAAAGGAAGAATCCGGTTCAAGTCTTCTTTCTGGTCATATGGGTGACCCCAGGCAAGCCACTTAACCTCTTAAAGCTCTAGGCAACTCTCTAAGACCAAAAGTTGTGGAGAAAGGACTGACCTGCATTGGCAGGAGTTTAGCTGAGAGTTTCCTCTATCAATGAGATCTTAGCTCTAGTCTGGATCTCTGTGGTTCACAACTATCTCAGATCATCTTGAGCTCTAGCATCCCTGACACTTAGTACCTTCACAATGTTTTATATTCATCTTCTACTAGCCTTTTCAACATTTGCAGTGACAAGGAGCTCACTATCCCCTAGACTAGCTGCTTTTCCATCTCCAAATGAACCATTTCTAGGCCTATTATCTTTGCTTTATTCCCTGGCCGTAGAACTGACCCCCTAACTAGCCTATCTAGTTAAAACAAGGTTTAGGAAGGCCTGGCATGGCTTGATCCATCCCCATTCCACCTCTGGAAACCCAATCCAGAGCTTATGCCCTGTTGATGAAAAGGCAGATAGGGAGAGTCAAGAATGCTATATTAATAAATCATCCCATTATAACATTGTCAGAAGGCTTTTTCTAGAATTGTTGAAGAATGATTAGTATTTCAAAAGTCAGAAAAAGGGAGAGGAGTTCAATTTAAGTTGTATTGAGGGGATGGGAGTGTAGGACATGTGTAGGCAATGGGAGATAATCGCCAATGACAAAATGTCTTAGCTCTGCTGACATGGCCGGGGAGGGGGAGGGCTGAATTCATAGTGCTGGGCCACTCCATTTTACCTGGGGTAGATCAACCAAACTCAATCCTGCCTTAGTCAAAGCCAGAAAAGCCCAGCCAGTATTAGTGGGTCCTTCCTTTTTTGGCTCGTTACACAAAAGGAACAGCTTGTCAGGGGACTTACTTGTTGTCCAGAAGCAAAACTATTGGATTTAGCTCTTTCCTAGATCTGTAATAGGCCCGGAGTGGAACAATGAAATTATACAGCCCATTTCCAGCAGTCTCTGCAGAAACTATGATCAATTTGTTCTTAAAGCCATAGGCCTTAGCGTCTTCATAACTGTTGTGCTTGCAGCCCTGGGATGGAGATAAGATCCAGAGAACAGATCCTGTCAATCAGAGTTTCTGTTATGCCTCTATGCCAGAGGACAGATAGAGTCAGTCAACATGTTGGCTACTGTCCTGCACAAAAATAGCACCCTGGGAATTAATATATAGACAGTCAATGTTCTATTTGTAACTTATGTGGTGATAACATCTGGAGAACAGACAGAGGTGCTCAAAGTTTCATTCACTTTTCTATTATGGGATGCCATGTTACATTCTAGAAAAGAAACAGATCTTTGTCTAGATCATTGCCCATTTTGGGAAAAACGCAAACCTTTGGACTAGTACTGGCTTTCTAAAAGGGATTGTGTGTGTGTGTATGTGTGTGTTACTGTGGAGTAGAGACCATTCTATTGAAGAAAACAAAATACATGGGCTGGCAAAGGGTCTTGAGTACATGGGATATGAGAATGAGCTGGCCTGGAGAAGACTGTGAGGTGATGATAGCTGTCAAAAGCAGTTGAAGAACTGTCATGTGGAAGAGGGATTAGCTTTGTTCTTTTTGACTCCGGTGGGCAGAAACAGCAGCAGTGGGTGGAAACTGTAAAGTGGCAAATTGAAGGTTGGTGTCAGGAAAAAAACTTTCTACCAATGGGTTACCCTTAGAGGTGATGGGTTCCCCCTCCTTGGGGGAATTTGCTTGGAAGTCTTCAAACAAGGCTAAATATGTGTCAGGTATGTTAAAGTGGGGATTCCTTTCATGTAGATTTTCATTGGCTGGTGAGCCCCTCCATTAGATTTTAAGCTTCTTGAGAGGACAGACTCTTTGCCTCTTTTTGTATCTCCAGGGCTTAGCACAGTGCCTGGAACTTAATAAATGTCCATTAACTGACTGTATGGTCTCTGAGGTCCTTTCTAACTTTTAAACTCTGTAATTCTATATAACAACAACAATATTAACTCACACGTGTGCTTTTGTACCTGAAGGTTTATGAAGTTCCTTATGTACATTCCTTCAGTATTTCAAGATCTCTGTTTTTGTCCGTGTGGACATTTCTCCACTGACACAGATCACAAGCCCTCTACAACTTAGTAGATGTGATAGCTAATTCTGTGGCCAATCTGGGTATGAGCTTCTCTGAACTTAGCAAGATTGGTCCTTGGATGACAGATATCTGTCATTGGGCTCATGCTCACAATCTTCTAAGTTTAGTTGCACCTGCCAAACCCTGTGCTGCACTGGCATGGCCTTTGAGGGGCCCCTTCCATACCATGATGAGGCAATGGGCTGGGACTATAGGGGAGGTTGCATGCACTATCTTATGCACATGTACTTATGTACTTGGCTTTAGACTATGCACCCAAATAATGTACACGTATGACATCCTGGGAATTCACAACACTTAAGGCAAACAAACAAAGCCCCATTCTGAAGACCTATCAAAGAAGGTATCCTGAATTATGTGCAAAATTCTCCCTGGCTGTCACTTTTATAACAAGGACAAACAATATCACCTTCAGAACAGAGAATAGAAACACAGTGGGTGCCGACTCCATAGAGTTGGGTAACTAACTGAATGCATGACCCTGGGGCAGAAAGTGATCTTATATAATGTAAAATGAAGACTAACCAGCTCAATCCTGCCATAAAGCCATAAGGCTTTAGCCAATATTAGTGGGTCACATCTTTTATCTTCTTACAGGAAGGAAACAGATTGGGCGTGTACTTACTTGTAATCCAACCTTTTGCGGGCTTAGGGAGTTAATGAAATATGTTTGTTTTAATTACCTCCTGCTGAGTGACTGGCCATGGAGAGTGTTAGAGACGTCAGATAGTGTCAACAGGTGATATTATTAGGTCCTCTTGAGCCTTGGACTGAAGGAGTCTTACCTGATGCCCTCTTACCTTATCTAATCTCAGGCAGCAGAAAGGGGCTTTCACAGGGAGCAGATGGCACAGAGTAGGAGAGCTTCCAATATATGGTGAGTTGGGAGGGTAGCCTTTTACATACCTGGAACAGAGGAAGTCCAGTTTCAGGTATCAAATATATTATTTTCTTACTCTATTACATTACTCAGAGATTGGATGTCAGCTGTTTATTGAGCAACTATGTGCCTGGCCAGCCCCATATTGGTTGGTCCCTTCCTACCTTTACGGTTTTCTTATACACTATGGCCATCCGTGAACTCTGCGAGTCAGCCACATGGTTCTGCCCATGTTACACTCCATTTCCATTCTGTTGCTTTGACTGGTTGTATGCTATGGCTGCCATGCATCCCCTTCTCATGTCCACTTCTTGGAATTTCTGGCACCCCTCAAGATTTAGTTCAAGCACCACATTCTACAGTAAATCTTTCCTGATTCCTCCCAACTGTTAAGGCATGTCCTCTCAAAATTATTTTATATATTTATACATGTACATGTTATTTCTCCCGTTAGCCTGTAAACTCCCTGAGGCCAGGACCTGGGCATATTTAGTCCAAGAAATATGCCTATTTTATTTTTGTATTATATCCCCAGTACCTGTCACATAACAGGCATCTTCTAAATGCCTGCTGATTGGCTGATTGATATGACATTGTCCCTGCTCTCAAGGAGAATTGGTTCTAATAGATTCAGAGATATTTGGAATTTGAGAGTCAGAAGAGACCCCAGAGATCATTTGATGTAGTTTAGAAGACCCATGATCTGTAAAACAATGAAAGGATATTACAAAGTAGCAAATCCAGTATAAGACTATGTATTTCAGACAAAGAGTTACATAACCTCTCTGGGCCTCAGTTTCCTCATCTATAAAATTAGGGGGTTGGAGGGAATGGACTCTTTGATTCTTCTCAGCCCCAAGACTCTTATTCTATAAGTGCTGCAGGAATTCTGAGAAGGTTAGAAATGATTATGGAGTAGGCAGGGAAGGCTTGATTCTTTCTGAAGGAATTGAGGTGGGCTCGAAAGAGGGGCAGATTTAAAGAAGTAGAGAAGACAGGGCATTCATTTCAAGAAGAAAGATGGGATCTCATATGGCCTGTGTTTGGTGGAATGGGGACAAGCAGACCTGACAGTAGTGGAGGGTTTATGCTGGAGAGTGGCAGAAAATAAGGCTTCCAGGGACCCATGCCTGGGAGCTGGAAGGCAGGGCAAGAATCGAAAAGGACTTGGCTCACTTTGCACATCTAAAACCAAACTGTGGGCCCAAGTAGCCACAAGAGGGCATGCCAACATCATAGAACAGCTTTGGTCCCTGGTAGAGACTGCTGGGAAAATCAAAGGTGGTTCTTTTTTTTTTTTTTTAAATGGATGCTAAGTAATGATGCAAAGAGGAGGGGGAGGAAGGAAGCAGAATTCCCCACTTTTCTGGTGTCTGACTCAATCTAGTGGGAACAGGGGGAACACTCTTTTCTATTCTTTCTTTGGTTGGGAGTTGGCTGGGGGACTAGAGGGAATTGGAAAAGGGATGGCTGGCTGGCAAACCCTTGTTTAACCTTTAAAAATTCAGTAGACCAGTGCAGGAAGGGGCACAGATGTGAGTGAACTCAAGAGAAGCTCTTGAAGGCTGGGACCTTATCTCTCCCACAGCACCAGTGGGTGCACCTGAGGCTCAGTGAAGACTGATGCATTTGAATGGAACACAAAGGAAAGTGGATTCTTGTATATCCATCTAGCTAAACTCTTCCTTCCTTTAGGCAGTAGCTCCAGTCCCACACCTTTCCTGAAATTGGCCTTAGCTCCTCAAGCCCATACTGATCTCTCAATTTTCTGAAATCCTCTAGTCAACAAGTACACTTAACTCTACCTGTCCCTCCCACTTACTCTTGTCCTTGTTACATTATGACTCTGTGGCTGCCCATCTGGGAGGTCTTGCCCAAGTTACTGCCTCTCCTTGGGTCTCAGTTTATTTTTCTGTCAAATGAAGGGATTGAACTAGATGGTTCTCTTGTCTCTATAGCCATAGCAATAGCAATGATTCACATTTTGGCTGTAGTTTAAGGCCTTTAAATGCTTTCCTCCCAGAAATCTTGCTAAGTCAGCATCACAAGTAATATTATCCCCATTTTAAAGATGGGGAGTGATGAAATGGCTCCATGGTGTCCTCATGAGATTTTTCTGAATCCAAATTGGGAACTCTTTCTACTATGCCAAATTTCCACTAGACAAGGAATTCTTTGTGGGCAGGAATAACATCTTCTGTTTTGTCTTCCTAAGTAATGGTATAAGGCTGGGCATGTATCAGATACTCCACAATTGCTTGTTAATTAAATTAGAATAAATATAACAAAAGTGAAAGTTTGTGGTCATTATAAATAGCTGCCCAAATAATCTTTCTTAAGGATAGGTCTGGCCATGTTACTCTCCTCCTGGAGAATCTTCAGTGGCTCCCCATTGCCTGTAGGATAAAATATGAACTCTTCATTTAAACTCTTCATTTTGGTATTGAAAGATCTTCACTGTCTAGCTTCAGCCTACCTTTTCAGACTTATTTCACATTACTGTCCTGCCCACACTCTGTTCCAGACAAACATAGCATTTGCTGTTCCCCTAAACTTGACATGCCACCTCTCACTTCTGTATCTTTGCACAGGCTACCTCATACCTGAAAATACTTCCACATCACTTCCATCTTTTAGAAAGCTTAGCTTTCTTTACAGCTTACAAATATTTTTCAGAAATATAAGTCACAAATATTTTTCAACTAATGACAGAGTTATCATTTTCCTGGCAGGGAAAGACAAGAACAAATTCATGAATAAAGGTCCCAGATACAATTCTGATGGTGAGGCTAATAATTTGTTTGTTTTAAGCAGGAACACCTGTGGTGTGACCATGAGTCAATGAAGATGTGTTTGAATTTCTTACATCTTGCATTTTCCAGCAGGAACCCTGACTCAGCCAGCACTTTCTTTTTGCTGACTCTTATAATCAAAACACAGAGTCTTACTTACACTAACAAATGATAATTTTTCATCATAAAGAGAAGTGTAAACATGGCCTTCTCCTCTCTCCTCACCCCACATCATGAATTTATTAACTCTTTTCCCTTCTGTGAACATTAGCAAAATGGACATGTGTTTGGGGAACTCACAAATGTATTTTATTTTCCAGAAGGGATACAACTTTAAGAGAGAGTGAGAAAGCAGCAGATCATTGTTGTTGTTTAGTTGTTTCAGTCATCTCCGATTCTTTTTGACCCCACTTGGGGTTTACTTGACAAAGATATTTGAATGGTTTGCCATTTCCTTCTCCAGCTTATTTTACAGATGGGGAAATTAAGGCAAACAAGGTTAAGTGACTTGTCCAGGGTCACACAGCTAGTAAGTTTCTGAGGCTGGATCTGAACTCAGGTCTTACTGACTCTAGGCTCAGTGCTCTAGCAATGGATCCTAGAATCAGAAAAATTGGGATAGAATCATGGCTCTGATACTTCCTGCCTGTGTGACCTTGAGAAAAGCAATTTCCCTCTTATGCCTCAATTTCCACATCTGTAAAATGAGAGGGATGAGTAGCTGGTCCCTAAGGTCCCTTCCAGTCCTAAAACCTGGTGGTCCTAAATAGTGAGTCATTTCCGCAGCACTGGGCAAGGCTGCTAGACTTAGAATCAATGGATCCGAATTTGAGTCTTGGCTCTGCAGTTTGCCCTTGGACTTGGCAAGTCATTTGGCTCCTTCAGTTCCCATTTTTCCATTTCTATAAGATCAGCATTGGATTCTGAGTCAAATGAGTTCATTAGTGTAAGAGTATTTTGAGAAACATAAAACCCTATACAGATTTAAGAGATCATGTTAAAGGAAGGGAGGATAGCATAACAGACACAAAATGTTCCTGTTTATACAACTAAAGAAAGGAGGGTGACAAGTTACCTAGAAAAAAAAATTAATCTAGAGCAAGCCCCAGGTAGCCAAGGTGTAGAATAGACATATGAGACACACATGTGGCCCACAATACTCCCCAGTGCATCAGAACCAGATTAAAATGCAATTGGGAAATATTTAACAAAATAAAAATACAATAGAACATGGATGATATTTATATGTGGTTTTCTAAATCAGTATGTGGCCCACAGGGATCCTTCTGCATGGTTTAGTGGCCCTGTTTCGATTTGAGTTTGATATCACAGGTGTAGCAGATCGAGGACAAGCCTAGAAGCCAGAAAGATGTGAGTGATCCCATCTTTGACACAGACTGGCTGAGGAACCCTGGACAGGTTACTGACCTGACCTCCCAGGGCTCTAGGCAATTCTCTGAGACTATGAGCTGCAGAGAAAGTGTGGCCCTGCAATGGTAGAGGGAATTTCTTTACTTGGGAGTGCCCTAGACCAATGAAGCACAGGTCCTGTTCTTATTTCTATAACCGTTTACTTAAATCATTAGCAATCTTCTTAGAGTAAAAACCAAGATTAAGATTGTTCTCTAGAATGACAGGTTATCTAGAATAGCCACTTTTATTAGATAATGAGCACCTCTCTGGAGCACTAACAAGATGAACTTATCTACAACAGTATTCATTCATTCACTCATTCATTCTGGTGTTTCTTAATGCATAGAAAAAAGCACTGAATTTGGAATCAGAGGACCTTGGGTTCAAGTCCTGATCTTGTTACTCATTGTCTATATGATTTTAGGCAAATCATTTCTGGGCCTCAGTTTCATCATCTGTAAAATGAGAGTTGGAATAGATGATTCTCAAAGTCTCTTCCAGGGGAGCTTGGAGTGCAGCCGGTAGTGCCCCAGACTCTAGGATAGAGTCAGGAAAACTCCTCTTCCTGAGTTCAAATCTGGTCTTAGACATTTACTGGCTGTGTGTGACCCTGGGCAAGTCACTTAACCTTGTTTGCTGTGTAACATGAGCTGGAGAAGGCAATGAGAAACCATTCCAGTATTTTTGCCAAGAAAACCCCAAATGGGGTCAAAAAGAATCAGACATGACTGAAAAACAACAAAGTCTCAGCTTTAAATTTCTTACAACCATTTAATCACTCACTCTCTAATACCCTTGGAATGAAGAACTTTTTTCCTCTGAGATAAACTGCAACACAGTTGAAACCTGAGTGGCAGTCAGCCTCATAAAATCTTAAATGCCTCTTCCATGGCTCAGACGTTTTATGTTTTTCTCCATTCCTCATCTCAATTCTCCCCTACCTCCCCCAATTTTAAACTTACATTGCTTACGATTGTCTTTCCTCTTTGCCTATAGTTCCTATGGCTCAAAGACACTTTAAAAAAGATACTGTCTCTCAAATAAGTTCAAGATTAATTTGGAGGAAAAAATCCATAATTAACAATTAACCCATTTTTTTCTCCTTTATTCCCTACTGGGGGAATGACTGGGACTTTCATTAGTGGCTGTGTGTTTACAGAACCAAAACCAGAGGCAGCTCAATTAATAACATGATACAGAGCTTAATGGAGAGTCTAGTTAATTACAGGGAGGTCTTCAGATGTAGACTGAACTTCAGTGGATGGCCTCTGGGGTAAATGCCACACTTACTCTACCACGGTGAGTCCCTCATCGTCAGATGGCGTCATCTCATCCTCTGACTGGTCGCTGAGGAGGTCACAAGGGAGGAGGGAAGAGCTGTCCGCTAGCTCCAGGACTGGGGCGATGCTAGGTCTGCGGCTACTAGAGCCATTTTCTGTGGGCAGTGTGAGTTTGCTGCTATTCGGGGGCCGGCAATCAGTGCTCTGCAAATCCATGGCCACTGTACCTGGAAAGAAGTAAAAAAAACTAACCCATTGGCCACCGAGTGTCTCAGTAGGGGTTTCCTTGTTCACCCCTACCCCCTTGTCCCATCCATCAACACTCTCAGATTAATGTACACAGATCCTGCTCCCTGGGGGACACACCTATCCCAGGAATCCCCACTACTTCACTCTTTCCAGATTTCATTTACCCAAATAAAAAGAGCCATTTCCTGGCCACACACTGGCCTCTCTATCTCTGGCTACAGATTACAACGTAACGAGGATCTGGGAATTTCCCAGAAAGAAGAAAGAAGAGTTTTCTCCTTTTTACTGTAAATTTCCTGAATTATCACTATAACATTCTCTGCTGGTGCAAAATTTAGCGAGAGCTGGATCTGTTATAGACCCCAGCCAAGGGGACTGAACTACTGAAATACCCACAGGACCTCATTACAGAATCCTTTGTCACTTAATATTGTGGTTATGTAACCATAAAGAGGGGAGTGGGAAGAAAGAATAGGATACCCACAACCAGATTCAGAATTATGTGTTACCATGGATTCAGGGAGGGAATTTGTTTTATGGTTCATTTAAACTCCTTAAATCCATAATCCTTTTCTTTCTTTCACCCTGTAGGTGGCAGCCTGGGGTTGGGATAGGTCCCCCTTGGTCAGATAAGCAGATGCTAACTAAGACTGCCCCACAGCCCTTTCTCATTAGCCCATTGGCAACAATGGATTTATCTAATTTTCCCTCCAGGAACCTCCCTTGAGGTTACAGATCCAGAGTAATTAGAGTCTGGCTATTCGTCCCTCCCCAATATGTTTATGAAGGTGAGATCAGGTGACAATAAACATAACCTCGCTGGATGAACCTCTGTGTCTTCAGCCATTCAATGATGGCCCCAAACTAATTGTTTGCCTTTCTTGCTCTAAGCCTTGTAGGTGTAGAATTGGCATTCTGGGGTAGAAGAGATGGGCATAGAAGGGAAGAACCACAAGTCACATGCCATTGCCTTGCTGGTAGCAGGGAGGAAATCATTGTGAAATATCTATGAGCCTCAGGTCTTTAGCCTACTGGTGGAAACACCACCTGCTGCCTCTGTAAGTTCCTGCCTAGTGCCCACAGCATGGGAGGGAGGGGAGATAGCACAGGGCTGGAGGTGACTGTTCCAATCCAATCTATCCAAAGAATGACTCGTATTCTACTCAACTAGTCAGAGAGCCAGCTTCTCAGTCGTCAGTCCCAAGGCTGTGTCCATTCAGCCCAGAAAACAGCTGGTCTGGTGCTGCTGGCCAGCTTTGCCATGGAAGAATCTGTCCCTCTCTGCCTGATACACTTCTATTTCTTAGAAGCCAATTTGGGAAGCTCCCTGATGAGAGGTATAATTATGTATAATATGCACCTAATTTGGGCAGAACATGGGGGCAGCTGCTTTCCTCCTGCCTCTGTTCCATGGGCTGATGGCTCCAGGCCATATTGACAAGCACATAAAGTGTTAGAGGGGAAGAGGGCAGTGAGATAGCAAGCATGGATCTAGGCTTGTAACAGGAGGCACATGGAGCCCATCTAATACAAGAAATTCTATCCCTCAATGTTCTTCTAAGTACTAAAAAAGGAGAAGGAAGTGAAACCTTTCTTGGTGGCCTCTAGACTCTACCCTCTAAATTCCAGTCCATTCCTGAACACTATCACCAAGCTAATCTTTGGCCAACAAGGTTTCATCTGGTTACTCTACTACTTAGAGGCCTTCGTGGACTTCTCATTGTCTGCAAGAGAACCAGGGTGGTATAGTAGAAGGAACATTGGGCTGGGAATAGAGGGACCTGCTTCTTCTATTAGTTGTATTGACTTGCTATGTGACTGAGTAAGTCACTTTCCATTTCTGGGCTGTAGTTTCCCCATTTGTAATATGGGAGGGTTGGATTACATGGTTTCTCATAGCCCTTTCAGCTCTGACTTTCTGTCAGAAATAGTTTGGTTTGTAAGGGAGTGAACAAAGAAGCTAATGGTTAAGATGATATTTTTGTATGATCTGTAGCATTCAGTAATCTTTAGCCCTTCTCTGCTGTCATGGCAAGAATTGCCTGGTATTCTCATTGGCACTGATAGGGTATAGGGGAAAGAACCATTGACTTAGGGTTAGAAGTCTCTGTTCTATTACCTAAGAACTGTGTAAACAAAGGAAGTAATTTTTCCTCCAAACCTCAGTTTCCTTTACCTGTGTGTGTGCGTGTACGCGCGCGCATATGTGCATGTGCAAACATGAGATGATCTCTAGGGTCCTTTAAGTTCTTATATTTTATGATTCTGTTCTGATGGCTATGGAAAACTATTTGGATTGAAGCTGAAAATAAACAAAACAAACTAAATCTCTGTCCTTCCATTTTTTCCTCATTAAAAAATTACTGATGATTTTTTTTCTTTTTTGAACAGACTCCTCTTTGCAGATTGGGCCCAGATTTACTTACAGTCAAAACCAAACTCCACAGGCAACTTCAACATTGTTCTTGCTACTCATGAAATGATTGCTATGGCCTCATGTGGAGAACTGTTAAGATTTAAACATGGATGCACAAGCCACTCCAAAATCCTGGCACTAGAAATAAGAGTAATTCCTCATAGCAACTGCTCTTTGAAGCATGGGTGCTCTTCCCCTCCATTAAATTCTTTTTTTCCCCTAGGGATGCAACTTGATGGCTTTAGAAAGATTCTCTATACTATTTTTTATTTTTCTTTTCTTTTCTTTTTTTTTTTTTTGGTGAGGCAATTGGGGTTAAATGACTTGCCCTAAATCACACAGCTAGTGTCAAGTGTTTGGTCTGAGGCTGGATTTGAACTCAGGTCCTCCTGACTCCAGGGCTGGTGCTTTATCCACTGTGCCATCTAGCTGCCCCCTCTCTACTCTTTACTGTGCACACATGGTGGGCCACAACAATCTTCAAAGAATGTGATATCCTCTGACTGGCTACCTGAACTGAGATGGCTGGTTGCTTGCAGGAAGGAATCCAGCAGTCTACCTGGATTGAATTCAGCCTGCCCCCTCCTCCCAATTAATACTTTTTTTTCTTTCAATATTACAATCACTTGCTATCTTGGAGTCAGGAAGACTGGAGTTTGAATCCTATCCCCCCCGTCCCCAGACACTTACTAAGGCTCTGAATAGGTCATTCAACCTCTGTCAACCTTACAAGGCTCATTTGTTAAATGTGGCCTCTTTCACATTGGGAGAATTCAGTGAGATAGGTAAAGCTCTCTGCAAATCCTAAAGGACTATATAAATGTTAGCTATTATTATTGTCATTATTAGTAGTAATATTCCCTCCAGTGATGCAGATCCAGCTGTGACCTGTCTCCTGTGTCATAGGACATTAGGAGTTGTTATGACCAAAAAACTTCATCGCTACGTGGCCAATCTGGTCTCAGGTTAGCCAGGCTGGGCCTCAGATGACAGCCACATGGCTCTCTCATCAGACCCCTATATGGAGCTTTTCCAGAATAAATTCCCATAGAACAGAGGATCACTCCCATGCTATGATGTAACATCAAAATAGGATCTTAGTGGAGAACCTAGAACAAAAGTGATAGCAGTGGTGAACATTCATAGTAATTTAAAGTCACCGAGGCACTTGATTCATTATAATTCTGCAGAACAGCCAGCACAAGTGTTACTATCACTCCCATTTTATAGATGAGAAAATTGAGGCTCAGAGAAAGGGGAAGTGACTTGCCTGTGGTCACACAGCTATGAAGTGTCAGGACCAGACCTGAAGATTCCATGCTCAAAGTCCTGTGCTCTTTCCACTAGACAAAATCAACAGTGAACAAAATCCTATGGAGAATGAGCCTACAATGGACTAGGCTGGAACTCTGCTGGCCAGGACAGAGGCCTCCAAAGGATGACCTGGGACATTCTCAATCCTGCCCTCACCCTGCTTCCAATTCTAGGACTGAATTAAACTCATTTGGAGCCTCTTAATATTCATGGACTAAGAAAGTCCCTCTAAGTTTTACTTCTTATAGATGGAAGTAGAACAGAATGTGGTCTTCAACATCCAGTTCCAGCATTGAAGGCTTCCCATTTGCTCCAGTTCTGGAAGTTAGGATTTGGAGAATAAGACAAACTTTCTTCTCTATTCCCTGTATGATCAAAGACTCCCAGAAACACTTAGAGAGACTTTACAGGTACTTAGAGGAGACCTCAAAGACAAGTACATTACATTCCTTTAAGATGAAAAAAGAGAGGGGAAGTGATTTGACCAAAGTCACACAGTCTGGCTAGTCAAGCCAGTCCTGGAACCCAATTCTCCCACCTCCCAATCACTTCAGTGCCTTTTGCTGTTTTGTAGATGTTCATTTTGCCCTTTCCCAACCTGTGTCTCTGTAAACTTTAGTTCCTCTGTTCTTGCATGGCCTTTCCTAGATCTTGAGATCACATTAGTTGCCCTTCTCTGGCCATTCCCTTGCTGTGGTTTATCTGCCCTAATCATGGCAGTCAGATGGACCTGTAGCTCTGTGGGGATGGATGCCTATGATTTAATGGAAGGAAAGGAAGTTTTTTTCTGGATGGTGGTTGGCATCACAAAGGCCTTTGGGGGACTGGATGGCACATGGAGACCCATGGAGATAAAGAGGTGAGAAGAAATTGAAATTGAATTCCGCTTGTTAAACTCTCAGTAAAAGTATAAAATTGGTTATGTCTTCCATGCCCTCTCACTTTACTTTATCTCTCTTCTTTCTCTCCAAGAACACTTACTCTGCCTGCTCAGGGCTCCCAACTATTGTATGCCCTCTCCAGCAAGATCTCCTGCTCTGGCTGCTTCCCTCCTGCCCCTCATTCACCCATCAAAACTTACCTATTGTGGGTTTCCTCTTGTATAAAGCCATACTTAGGTAGAAATAATCTTTCTATTCATTCATGCCAATGGCTGTTGACAGTACATTAATGATAATAATAGCTCACGTCTAAATAATGTTTTCCTCATAGCAACCTTGTGATGTTAAGTAGTACCATCATTATTGTCACTTTTATAGCTGACAAAACTGAGGGTCAAGAGGTGTGGAGGTGAAGGGACTTGTCCACGGTCACATAACTAGTAGGTAGTAGAGCCAAGATCTCTGACTCCAAGTATAGAATTTTTTTCCATTGCACTGAGCTGTAGGAATTGCCCTCAGTCACACAAAGTCAATTTGTGAGATTTCTCAGAGGTCTTTGTATTTTAACAAGAGACTGGCTATGCCAAAGGAATAAATCCTTAATGGTGAAGTTTTAGACAGTGTGGAAGACTGGGTGGGAGAGTAAATTGGGAACCCAGGGGCCTTCTTAATGCCCTGTGCCTCACATCATGCATGTAACTGCCTGTTTTGCCCAGTTTAGGATAGGTTCTGCCCCTTTCTCCTCCTGACTTCAGGGAGATCCTTCTGGGAGTGGGGGGGGGGTCCCCTCACCCATGGAAGCAATGATGCTATGGACTGGCAGCCGGGAGGGTCCGTCATAGAGGCCTCGCCCTGAGAAGCCCTGCCTCTTCTGCTTTTCTTCCTGTTTGAAGATGAAGGCTGAGTTCTCCTCCTTGGTGATGTTGATATAGAAGCAGGTGTCAGAAGCAGCCATGATGTGCCGTGGGCCTGGGTTCAGCAAGATGCTTTTATTCTCCTCCCGCTTCAGCCCGATCAGGCACACACCATATCTAGGGCAGATACAATAGCAGGCACTCAAGGCCAGCCTCATAAAGAGGGCACTTGCTTTCCCGTCCCCACTCCCCTCTCCACCACAGGGCTCACAATGCGACTTAAAAACTCGATCTCTGGCACTCATTGTCCTAATTGAGGGACAGACAAAAACCCTAGGGAGCTTTTCTTTCTTTCTGAGATTCTCATTTAAAGGAAAACAGTCCTTTTCTTTATGCTGCATGCCCATGAGTCACTTATGCTTTTTCTAGTCAAAGCTGAAGGACTGGATTTTCCAGATAATAGAAATAATAGCGAAGCAATGATTACGACAAGAGCAGTAGAGCATCCATATAGTGCTTTAAGGTTTGTAAATGTCAGTGCTGGGATTCAGCCCTGGGTACCTGGACTGTAAATCGAGGGCTCTTCTCCTGATGGCAGAAGGGCCCTGGGGCTTGAAGTGGATGGGAAAGTGTCAGGTAATGCAGAGCAAACATGGGACAGAGGTCAGGAGATCAAATTTCTGGTCTTTGCTCTGCCACTAAATTCCCATATGACCTGGAGCAAAGCCATGTATTTTCTCTGACCTTCAGTTTTCTACTGTGAAGATTAGGTTGGACAAGACAGCCCCTTCAGTGCCTTCCATTTCTGACATTCTAAGATTCCAGGATCCAAGATATAATCTTGGGGAAAAGAATTATATTTGGTGCCAGGGGACCTGGGTTCCATTACTGGTTCTGCTGCCCACTATCTGTATGACCTTGGACAAGTCACTTAACCTTCTGGGCCTCAGTTTCCTCACCTATAAAGCAAGGTGGCTGGACTAGAGGACCTCTAGATTTTTTTTTCACCTATGATCCTATGATTCCATGGGCTGGACTTTGCTTCCCTTCCCCTTCCCCACTTATCGGCACTGTTTCAGTGCTGGGAAAGTGGAGGGGATGAGTAAGAAAAAAAGCAAGAATGAGGGAGAGGAGAGGGTATTTAGCCTAAGAAATAGGGTAGATACCCTTCCTATTCCTAACACACACACACACACACACACACACACACACACACACACACACACACACACACACACACCCCACCCATGAAACTCTTTCAAGCACTGCCCCTGGCCTCAACCCCATGGAACTGGTGGCAACTTCCATTTTCCCTTACTTACCCCCCAACCCCCAGGGGACCCTGCCTCTCCTCTCACTTTTTGTGGGCGTGGAAGGCTGCATAGGTGAAGCTCTTGCCTTCATACTCCATGAAGAACTTGCTGTCTCCCATTCGGATGTGATAAACTTCATTCCCTGAGCATCGGCCGTACATCCGCTGCCATTGCTCTGGTGAATCCTGACCTTCCCTAATGACAAAGCCAGAGACCAGGCCTGCCCATTAAAGCTGCCCCAAGATGCTTGGGACAGGAACAGATGCATGGAGGAGGGACACACAGACAAAGCCTACAATAGATGGGAGTTAGGAATGGAGGCATATTCCACCTGAGCAGATACCCACACCTCTAGGACTGATCTTACTCCATGAACAGCATGATTTGAGGGGCATTGGCAAAGCCTACCCACTCCCAAATATCTCGGTAGTCTCACTGCCTCATTTCCACCATTGGAGGATCATTCTGTTTGTCAAGACAGACCAAAGAGGTCTTATCTCATCAGTCAGTTCTCATATGTTGCTCCACCCCCCCCTCCAAATCCTGGGTCATTTTAGCTGACCAGAGACATGCATTGTGCTCCTGGCATTGGCTCTGGTTCTTTTGATGAAGGTTATACTTTTTGGGGATAGTCTTTGTAAACACCCTCCTTGAAGGAAACTCTTTGATTAAGATTGAGCTGAAGGCAAACCTGGATACTCACTGTCCCCGGGAGGTGTGGACCAGCAGGGTGATGAGCGTGGAGGTGGCTGGGCAGATGCAATTTAAGGCCAGCATGGCATATTTACACTCTTCTTCACACACCACATGGTCTGTGTCAGAGAGGGGGAAATGGTCAGCAGAAAAGGCCTTGCCCCACCTGCTGGAAGAACATCTCATCCAGATATTGAATCTCAGACTCTCCAAACAAGAGAAGTCCTTCTAAATCATCTTGTCCAATATCCTATCTGCTGCAATACACCCTTCTATGGCTACATCTACAGTATCTTTTAGTATCTACCGATGTATATAACCATAGTATCTTGGACAAATGGTTATCTGACACATATACCTCCAGGGGTAGGGAGATACCCATATTCCAGGAGGCAACCCATATTATTTTTCCATTATACCTTCCTTTTTCTTGCCTTTTGTTTCTCCCCCTGTACTCTTCACACCCCAAAACTTTGTTTTCTTTCCTTTCATAAAGAGGACCAAATATTGATTGGGCCAACATCTTCCCTTGGAGCACTGCTGACTGGATGTAGCCACTTTTTAAATGGGCCATTTTCCTACTAGGGGAACTCTTTGGAAATAACTTGTAGCTAGAAATAAAGAGACCATTGAGTCTAACTCTGATTTTGCAGACAAGGAACTGGGAGGTTAAATGACTTGCAAAGAGTCACATAGCTATTAATTGTTTGAGATGAGATTTGAATGCAGGTCCTCCTCACTCCTAGTCCTCTATTCTAAGTTGCTTTTTCTTCTGAGAGGCCAGGGCATGTTTGGGATTAATGGAGGAACAGCTTTTGGCTTTTTATCTTCAGGGCCAAGGCCTTTAACCTCTCTAAAGTGCCCTCAGAAGACTTGTGGGAGTGTGTCTAGTCTCTCTAATAAGATCGTAAGTTCATTAGTGAGCCATGTGATCATGGATAAGTCACTTAAGCTTTGTACCTCATTTTCCTCATCTACAAAATGAAGGAGTTGGACTATACAATGTCAATGGTCCTTTAATATACTATGAAATTCTATGATTCTATTAGACAAATTAGTATATGGTGATGAAGGAGGGGAGAGGAAAGTAGAGACTTTCTTGAACTATCTACACCATGGGGAAGACAAGCAATTTGAATGCTTCCTTAACAAACCACTCTCAGTTGGAAGGATGTGATAGTGGACAAAACCACCTCTACTCTCTGGGCCTAAGTTCTCCTAGCAGTAAAATAAGGGAATTGGAACTAGATGATCTCTAAAGTCCTCTTTAGCTCCAAAATTCTAATATCTAAGATCCCTTCCAGTGCTGACATTCTATGTTCTGTGACTCTAAGATGCTTTAGTTGTATGGTTCCAGGAATCTAAGATGACAACTACTAGCTAGTTCTGTTATCTCTTTGCCCTCTTAGAAATACGCATTTGAACAAATATACAGATTTGTATACCTATAATTGAGTATTTCCCTTTAGGGTATAGAAATCTCAGAGTAATTATTATGTGCCCAATAAAAATCTCAAAATAGTAATAATTTCCCCTCAAGGAATTCACATAGCACTTGTCCTTTCTAATGCGCTTATCGTGTATTAAATATATTATTGATATTTCTGCATGCCTTCTGTTCTTACTAGACTATAAGCTCCATAAGGGCAGGAAATGATGTCCTAGCTCAATAAATTTTGTGTCTTTCCTGATACCTAGCTCAAGTCCCTAAACAAAGTGGACAGTTAAAATAAGTATGTTGAATTAAATGTTAGTGAGCATGGTTCGCTTTTATTCAGCATGGACAGTAACCCTTCCTCACACAGCTTGGATGGAAACTGGGTTGCATAATTGGACACTTGTATTTTATTTGCAGCTTTATGATTGACTCATTCTGTGAGCATTCCCATTGTTGCTCAGTTTCTTTCTAAGACTTATTGAACTGATACAGAATGAAGTAAGCAGGACCAGAAAAGCAACATGTACATCAAATAATCCAATCATTCAAGTATTTTATTAAACACCAACTATGTTGATCATCAAGATAAATATGAAGAACCAAACTGAATCATATATAAGTAGAATGGTCAAATTTGGCCCTGGAAAAATATTGAAAAAATGCATCTCCTTCCATTTCTTGAAGAAGTGGCTGACTATGGGTGTGGAATATTTTGTATACTGTCAGACACAATTGACATGTTGGTTTGTTTTTATGGATTGCTTTTTTTCTTTTTTCTTTTTGTTGAAAGAGATGACTTGCTGGGTAGAGGAAAGGGAGGTATATATTCAGAACTGGAAGTGATGTAAAAACAAAATACATCAATAAGTATTTTTAAAAGAAGAAATATTCATCTGAATCCCATGATGGCTCTTGCTTTTGTTTTTAATTTTTATTGATGTCTTGTTTTTAGATCACTTTCACTCCTAAATATGTCTCTCATTCCCATGCTCGGAAAGTTATCCCTGTAGCAAAGCATAGAAAAAGAAAGAAAAAAAAGCAGTTCCACAAAACTAACCAATATGTCAATCATGTTTGATAGTATTTGCAATGTTCTACATCCACAGCTTCTCATATCTGCAAAGAAAAGGAGGAGTATTTTCTCCTTTCTGTTTTTGGATCAAGATTGATCATAATCATTATACAGTGTTCAGCTGTTGTTGTTTCTATTTGTGTTATTGTAGTCATTGTGTTTACTGTTTCCCTGTGTCTTCTTACTTTAATTTGCATCAATCCATATGCCTTCCCATACTTCTTTGAACTCTTCATATTCCTCATTTCTTACAGTACAGTAATATCCCATCACTTTCATGTACCACTATTGTTTAACCATCCTACAGTTGATGGAACAGATATCTTTTCAAAGACAAACAAGACTTTTACTTTTCTCCTTTCTCTAACCAGGACCTCACTTTGTTGTTGTTCAGTTGTTTCAGTCATGTCTGACTCTTCATGACCCCATTTGAGTTTTTCTTGGCAAAGATACTGGAGTAGTTTGCCATTTTATTCTCCAGCTGATTTTGCAGAAGAGGAACTGAGGCAAACAGAATCAAGTGACTTGCCCAGAGTCACGTAGCTAGTAAGTATCTGAGGCCAGATTTTAACTCAGGAAGATAAGTCTTCCCCACTCCAGGCACAATACTCCATGCACTATGCCACAAGAGTCTATCTTTGTCCTGTCCCCAAAATGCTAGTCACTAAAGGACCAACATACCTACACAAAATGGTATCTCATAACTGCAGTTTCAGGGCATGGGACCCCAAGACCAGCACTTTAGAGATGCCCTAACCCAATCAAAGCTATCATTTCTAGAGTACTTTCAGGTGTACAAAGTACTTTACTCACAACAACCCAGGTGAGAGGTAGTGAAAGTACCCTAACCCCATTTTACTTATGAGGCATCTAAATGCTATCATCATCACCATCATCACCTTCATCATCACATTGTGGCATGGAGGTGACCTGGGTTCTTGAAGGATATACTAGCAGAGGGTAAGCTGTGTTATGTTCTTCCAAGCTGGAAAGACTTTATGTACAGGCCCAGTGAGAGACTGCAAGATTTTCTATTGTGCCTCAGATGTCTCCTTTTGCAGAAGTCCATTCCCAGCTGGCCCCCCAGCTATTCTTGACTTCCCTTCTAAGGTTATCTTATTTCTATTCTGCATGTATTTTGTGTGTCCCTATCCGTGTTTATGTCATCTCCACTAGGGTAGAAGCTCCTTGAGTGCAGGGTCCATGTTTTTTGCCTTTCTTTGTATCACCAGCACTTAGTATGGTGCTTGGCACATAGAAAGCATTTAAGACTTGTTTGTAGATTGACTGATGAGCTTGGGCTATGTGCAAAGGGGTTCATCTCCAGGTTCACTGAAGAATGATGGATTTTTCAGCCACAGCCATTCCCTAAGACCTTCTACTCAAATTGTAAAGAGATAGCAATCTGTGACAATAGATGGAGGGCTTACAGAATCTATCTGGGCTGAAATATTGAGAATCCCATTAGATTTCTTGACTATTGATTCCTACTGATCACATAATCCACTGAAGTATCTGGGCTTTTTTTTCCCCACATAAACTTTTCCCAATTTGTATTTACACAATTGATTGCTTAAAGCCCCAACTCAAGGGATTTGCACAGTGAATTCTGCCTTTAAAAAACACTTTCATCTATTTTCTCTGTGAACCTCATAACAACCTTTTCAGGTGGGATGAGCCAAGGTGTTGTAGTCCTAGCTTTATACAGAAGGAAACTAAGGCCCAGAGAGGAGAAGGGAATTAACCAAAGTCACATGGCAAATTAGTGGCGAAGCTAGGGCGAGAGCTCTGGTCTTCTAAGTCCTAATCCACACTTTCTCCATTGCCATGGCACTAGACTGCCATGTGAGTGTTGACACCTCTTTCTTAACAGAGATGCTCCAGGACATTCATGATGACACACACAATTTATCCTGTATGAAGCTTGTTTGTACATTATTGTTTGTATGCTGTCTCTCCCATTAGACTGTGAACTTCTTGAGGGCAGCGATTATCTGTTCCCCAGTGTTTAGCATAGTGCCCAGCATAGGTGCTTAATGAACATTTATTAACTGACTGATACATTCAACCTTTCAACTAGAAACCAAAACTTACCAGCAAATTTGACATGAAACTTATTCTCTGGTTTCAAAATCTGAACATAGAGGGGACAATTGGGAGCAAAATCCTTCACCGCCCAGGCTCTCAGGATGGTCTGGTGGTCCTAGGGGAGAGAATGCTGTTTAACTTCCCAACCACCTGTGTCCCCTCCTAGAGAGCACATCCAGCCTTGCCTAAGCCCAGCCCAGCCCAGCCCTATTTCCAGGAAGCATTGTTGATGCCAGCTACCATGGAATTGGGGTGCTTACCGCTGCTGTTCGGTCTACCTCATTCCTGCTGCTGAGGATGAAGCAGGCCTCACCATTGTCCATCCTGGAAAAAATGATCTATTAGCTTTCAATCCATGGCACCTCAAGTCATCAGGCACCCCCCAAGCAACTACCTTGTATCTGGCCCTGTAATAGGCTAGTGGGAGAACAAGGAGAAGACATAGTCCCTGCCTTCAAGGAGCTGACAGTCTGGTTGGGGAAACAGAGTTCACACATGTGGAAGAATGATAAAATGAGACAATGCAGAACATAACATATAGTATAGATTGTAAGCATATTACAAGCTCACAGATAGAAGAAAGCTCCTTGTGGGCTATAACAGACTTGCAGAACATAGCATGTCTGGCTTCAAAAGACTTTAGATATCATCCAACTCTTGTTTTGTGGGGTGAAACTGAGGCCTAGAGAGGGTCCTTTAGGTAAGTAACTTGCCTAAAGTCATGCAGTGAGTTGGTGGGAGTAATGGGTCTACAGAATCACAGAATTTCAGAGTTTGATGGGAGGGACCTCATCCAACCCATACTTAAAAAGGAATCTTCTCTGTAATATTCCCAACAAGTCACCATCCATTCCAAAACCTCACGGCTCCCTTTCCATTGCACTGCCCTGCCTTCAGGATGTACATGCCTGAATTAGAGATGTGTTAAGGCAAACATTCTGCTGTAGTGTGGGAGAAATGAAATACTGGAGTAGACCAAGTGACCTTTTCAAAGTGAGGAATGGGAAGGGAAGACTTCTCAGAGGAGGTGTCTCTACTAAATAATTTAAGAACTGCTAATTGCCAGCTACATACCTGTTGGTTATGTTAACAAAGAGCATAAATTCATAGCATAATGTTTTTCTCTCCTTCAAGAACAATGTCACTTCATTATTCAGAGGCATAGAAGTCCTTTCTCTTAGCCTCCATTTACTTTCAGGGTAATCACTCAAGTATGTTACAAAGGCAGAGCATCCTTTTTCCACTTTCCCATGTTTTTACTGCTTTAATTCCATCTAACGTATGTAACTTGTGGCCCAGAATCAAATCTCTGGGTTTGCTTGGACCTGGTACAACATTGGGGGGATTTTCAACCATCCTACATTCCAACAATTTCCAACAATCTTCCAACAATCCAACAATCCCAGTTTGGCTGATCTTGCCCCTAACCAGCGTTTCCCTGGAAAATATTTAGCTCATGTTTTGTTTTTTGCAGAGATAAAAGAGAAGAATCCCTTAGCCCTCATGCAAATACTTGGCTAACAACATATCAAATATAGAGAGGCTTTGTTTTACATGACAGACAACTTAAAATTCAAAGAACTAGCTAGTTTACAAATAGTCAAAACAACTCAATTTCCCTCTTCAGGGGTTTTTGCTTTTCTGAAGGCCCTAGACAACACTTTAGACTTATCCTAGTAACCTAGGATTGAGATTGAATTGTTTGAACTAACTCACACACTAAGTTCTGTCTCTGTGAGAGGAAGCTGCTGTTGTTTAGTCATTTCCAATTCTGTGTGTCCCCTTTTTTGGGTTTTCTTGGCAAAGGTACTGGAGTAGTTTGTCATTTCCTTCTCCAACTCATTTTACAGATGAGGAAACTGAGACAAATAATGTTAAGTGACTTGCCCAGTCACACAGCTGGTATGTGTCTGAGGCCAGATTCGAACTCTCATGAAGATGAGTCTTCTGGACTCCAGGCCTGGCACTGTAACCACTGTGCTGCTTAGCTGCCTTTTTGAGGGCAAGTACGTACTTTGAATTATTTGCACTCTCATCTAGTTCACCTGCTGATTAAAGCATTTATGAGATAGTTGAATGGGGTCTGGCTTAGTCTGTGACCAGAGTTAAAGATTAATCTGTCACTAGGGTTAGGGGGCCAGTCTGTGCTTATAATTAGGAGGTCACTATGGCTGAAGTCCAGTTTAATGGTTGGCCATGGCCAGTTGGCAGTCTGTGGCTGACCCCTAAAAAGAAAACATACTGATGTAGCTCTCACTGATTGATCCGCCCATTAGATTTTCAACAGAAGCCAGAAATATGGTCTGTTTATTGTTTAATTTTCCTCTGCTTACTTTACGTATCTCACTCAGCTGGCCACAGTAGATTTCATTTATGAATCATTCATTTCTCCTAAAAGAGAGTTCTCTCATGAGAAATGTGCCTTGCAGAGACTGGGATTATAATGAGATCACTCATGGTCATGACTAACAGTGCACTTTTGATGTCCTATAGAGCCTGTGTAGAAGAGGATGCTTATGTATGGTAAATTAAGACCTTCGTGTATGCCCAGGAAATGGCAAGGACTATAAGATAAAGCCAATTTTAGGTTACCTATGTATGGACTACCCATGAGAAATTTTTGGTTTCTTTTGGCTTCTTTCTAGCTCCCAAGTAGGCCATGTGCCTCAACCTTCTTGTTAGTTAATGAGTAGGGAATTAATATTATTTTTTTCCCCACATTCTCACCATTAGAAAGAAAAAAAAAGTGCCGCCAAAACACAGCAGAACATTTATCAAGCTAAAAAAAAAGACACCTTTGGGATTATCTGTGCTGTTTTTACCTTTAGCTAGCACAGATCATCGAGGGTGAAATGAATATACCTGGCCTTCAATGGTTAAAAAGCCCTAAATTAACCCATTTTAATTTGTCTCTTTCTTCTGGCGTTAGAAAGTAGGAGGAGGCAAATGTCTTCTTGCCCCCACTCCAAGAGACTTCCTTTCTTCCCACAGACCTGCTTCTGTACTCACTTGGCTCTCATGAGGTCTTGATCCTTTAGAGCTGAGCCCTGGAGATAGATCACCCTCTGAGACCATAGAGGGATCTGGAGAACCCGGCGCACCTGAATGTCCATCTCCGTTGGGCAAAGGATCACCACATAATAGTCCTGCAACAGGAAATCCATCTGGGTCCTTTATTCATGCAGAGGGAGCAATATGTAAATAATGGCATGACTTTGTATTCTTAGAGAGCTTTGGAAAATGCACCATTGTAGGATCATAGACTGAAAACTGGAACAGAACTTAGAGCCCAACTTGTCCAATTCCTCATTTTTAACAGTTGAAAAAATGAGGGCCCACAGAGAGAGTTAGGTGACTTGCCCAAGGTTACATAGGTACTTGATACTTACAGCCATCTCTCTGCCTTAGGTGAAGTTAAGTGGGAAAATTATGGCATTATATTCATTGGGTGGATACAGAAACTGAGGCCCTAACAGAGGCCATAGGGTCTCATGCTATTAGAACTGGAGCAAGGTAGGATAGAGAGCAGCCGTGTTCTCATCCCGAGTCTGTAGGACCCTTGTGATGGTCCCCTTCAGGTCCCCAGGAGCTACACCAACCTGTCTCCAATCCTGCCCAGGACACAGACAAAGGCCCTGCACAAGGCCGGCCATTACCTGGAGCCGAGGGTGAGCATAGAACTCATTCAGGAAGTCCATGAGAAGGTCAATCTTGAGCGAGCTGACACAAAGGACAACATGTTTCTCTGTCTGGGCTCGGTGGCGGCTGTAATTACCCCCCGACTTTTGTCGCTCCATCCAGAGGTAGACAAGCTCCTCAAACTACAAGGAAATGAAGTGGTCTGAATGCCAGAAAGACCTGATGCTTAATGTACAAGGCTGAATTGGGGAGGCTGGTGCTTGGATTGGGTCTTGGACAGTGATAGGATTTAATAGGTAGAGAATGAGCAAATGTCAGGAGAACATAAACTTTTTGTGGAAAGGAATTGTGATTCTGTCTTTGTATCCTTATTGGCTAATGCAGTGGGTGGTATACAGTAGGTACTAAATAACTGCTTGTTGACTGAAATTGGTCTCACCCTTACCTCCACAACTCTCAAATCTGTCATTTTTTTTTTGTTCACTTAGACAGCTACTGCCCTAGTTGAGGCCCTTCTTGTTTCATAACTGGACAATAGCGATAATCTTCTAGTTGGCCTTTGGTTCCCAGGCTGTCCCTACTCCAATCCATCCTCCATACAGCAGCCAAATCAGTATTTTTAAGATACAGGTCACTACTCCGCTTAAAAACCTTAAGTGGTTTCCTATTGCCTCTAGAATAAATTATAAACTCATTCAGGCCGTTAAGGCCTCTTCTATTTGGCTCCCACCAACATTTCCTAAACCAACCTTTCCTAACTTACTTTATGTTACACACTTTCATGGATTCTATCTTCCGTCCGCACCAGCTGTTCCTCAAACCTGACACTACATCTTCCATCTTCATGCCTGTGGCCCAGTTGTCCCCTGCCCTCAAGAAGCAGACACATAGCTGGGATATTTCACTTTTGTTTTCGTAGCCTTGTCGTCTAACCCAATGCTTTGCACATTGGTGCTTATTCAATGTTTATTGAACTGAATTGAATTGAGGAAAGAATAGTGTGAGGACAAGTGTTGGGGGAAGAATGAAGAGGACACACATGAAATTTGGTAAGAAGACCAATTAGGTCTTTAATTTTCATTTACCACAAGCAGCTGCCTAAAACATACAGTGTACTAAAAAAGGGAGAGGGAATAAGAATTCGAATGGATGACCACTTATTGGAGAAATTGTAGAAAGGACTTTGGGCCAATTATTGGTTGGACTAGGTTACTGTGAGTTTCCTTCCAATTCTGAGATTCTGCTATTCTGTTAATATGATATACTGAGATAACAGTTTCATTTGGAGAAAGCCTTAGCTGAAGTCTAAGCCTAGAGAAGGTGTGTTCCATCCATCATATTAATGTAGCATTTCATAGTTTCAACTGATTATCTTAAGATAGTGTGAAGGCAGTCAGTCAGTCAACAAACATTTATTAATTATCTACTATGTGCCAGGCATTGTGCTGAATGCTAGGATACAAAGAAAGGCAAAAGACAGTCCCTACTCTCAAGAAGCTCAGTCTAGGGGAGGAGACAACATGAAAATGATTATGTACAGTCTATGTATAGGCTATATTGGAGATAATTAAGGAATGAACAACACTATAATTAAGAGAGATTGAGAAAGGCTTCCTGTAAAAGCTGGGATTTTAGCTAGAAATTGGAGAAAGCCAGGGAAGTCAGGAGGAGGGCAGGCCAGGTATTACTATCCCCATTTTAAAGATAAGGAAAGCAAGGCTGAGAGAGATAAAGGGTCCAAGCTTGTACAAGGATTAAATGGCAGAGCCAAGATGAAAAACCAAGTCTCCTGATTGACTCAGTCAGAGAATCACAGAATGTTAGAGTTGGGAGAGACCTTATAGAACATATGGTCCAAACTCCTCATTTTGCAGAAGAAGAAATTGAGGCACAGAGACTTGAAGTGGGTTGCCCAAGGTCACATAACTAGCAATTGATAGAGCTGGGACTCAACCTAGTTCTATGTTTCTGGTCCTGCAGATTATCATGATGTCCGTGATGAAGTCTGACTCCAAGTTCAGTGCTCTTTCATGCTAGCTAGCCTATGGATAAAGTGTGTTTAGTAGACATCTTAAACTCATCACGTTCAAAACTGAACTCGTGGTCTTTCTTCTTCAAGCCCTTCCCTCTTCCTAACTTTCCTGTTGCTGTGGAGGGCACCACCATCTTCCCATCACCCAGGCTGGTTTCATCCTTGATGCCTCACCCCCCCCCATTCATTCTGTTTACAAGTCTAGTCCATTCCACCTCCACAACCTCTCTCATACACATCCTCTTCTCTGTGACATTTGCTGCCAGTCTGACACTGTCACCAGCCTGCTGTACGTCCTCCTCATCTCATTCTTGGACACTTGCAATATCCTGATGGCTGGTCTCCCTGCCTCAAGTCTTTCCCCACTCCAACCTATCTTCCACTCAGTTGTCAAATTGATCTTTCTAAAAGCATAGGTCTGACTATGTTATCCCCTCCCAACTTTCCCCTCCCATTCAATAAACTCTAATGGTTCCTTATTACCTCCAGGATCAAATGTATAACCATCTGTTTGACTTTTAAAGCTCTTCATAACCTTCCTCCCTCCCTTACCTTTCCAGTCTTCTTACACTTTGCTGTTCTTCACGTACTCTGTAATCCAGTGACACTGGCCTCCTTGTTTCTTGTTCAAGACATTCCATGTCTCAAATCCAAGCATGTTCATGGGCTGTCCCTTATGCCTGGGATTTTCTTCCTTTTCATTTCTGTCTCCTCGTTTCACTGGCTTCCTTGACATCACAGCTAGAATTCCACTTTCCAAAGTGAACTTATCCTGTTCCCCCTTACTATTAGTGTTTTTCCTTCATTATATCCAATTTATCCTGAATATGGCTTGTTTGTACCTAGTTGTTCTTCAATTGTTGTTTCCCCTATTAGACTGTGAAATCCTTGAGAGAAGGGACTGTTTTTTGTCTTTCTTTGTGTCCTTAAAGGTTAGTACAGTGCCTGGCATAATTTTTGTTCTGGTTGTTCAGTCATTTTTCAGTTGTTTCCGACTCTCATGACCCCATTGGGGGTTTTCTTGGCAAAGATACTGGAGTGGTTTACCATTTCCTTCTTCAGCTCATTTTACAGATGAGGAAATTGAGGCAAACAGAGTTAAGTGACTTGCCCAGGGTCACACAGCTAGTAAGTGTCTGAGGCCAGATTTGAACTCGGGAAGATGCGTCTTCCTGACTTAGGCCCAGCACTTTAGCCATTGCACCATAGCAGGTGCTTAATAAATGTTTGTTGATTTGATTAAAGGGTGGGGAACTTACCTGGAGTGGAAGGACAACGAGGGCCACGCAGATCATGATGACCACCAGGAGCTGAGAGGGCCAGATTTTGGGGGTTACATCTCCGTAGCCCACAGTGGAGAAGGTGACAATGCAGAAATAAAAAGACTTGAGGAGAGAGAGGTTGTCTCCCGCTCTCTCTAGGTGCTGAATACCACAGGTCCTATAAGGATTAAATAGAGGATGAAAAATAGACTTAGGAAGATAGTGGAACCAAGGGATGAATTCTTGCATCTGACCACCGGTAGGAATCACCCTGAACAAGTCCCTGCCTGCCCTCTGGGTTCCAAAGAATACTTATAGAGACCATGGCATTTAGAGCTGGAATGAAATCTGGAAGTCATGTTGTCCAGCTACCTCTTTTTACAGATGAGGAAACTAAATACCTGAGATGTTAAATGACTTGTCCAAGGTCACACAAGTAGTGAGAAGCATACTGTAAGCAAAGGAAACCACTGGAAAAATGCATCAGTTCATGTTAATTTTAGAGGTACAAGGCTAACAGAGGTCAGGAAGAACAGAGCTCTGTGCTTTTCAGAAACTTTTAAGCACTTGAAGGAAAAGATCAGAGTCTTTTATAATGAACACATATGCAGTTCATATACACTGTTTATAACTAAAGCATTTTTCCTGCTACCTGAAAAGGATTTCTTGGCTGTTACTCTTAAACAAATCAGATCTGTTTAGGAGAGTGGTACAGCTATCTCTTTCCAGTTAAAAGGTGCAATAAGAATTAAGCCTAGTAAGCGACCAGTCTGAACTGGGCTTGAAAACAGAAAAGGTTTGGAGAAAGTAGCTAAAGGTAAAGAACATGGATTGGCAGTCAGACAGCATGAGTTTGAATCATGAATCTAACTCTTATTATCTCAGGAATCTTGGGCATGTAACTTCCTCTCATGCTTGCCCCAAACTGGGTCCCAGTTTTTTCATCTACAAAATAGGGAAGGAGTAGACTAAATAATATCTGAGGTCCAATCCAACTCTATATCCTGTGACTACTGTGATCTTGCTTATGTCAGATACGGTAAGAAAGATTCATGGTCTGTGAAAACGGAAACTGAGGGTACTGTAAATGGCTGGATGTATGCTCTATACTCCTTGCCATTAGCCTTTTCTGCCTCCTTCCCCTTGCCCCTTAATTTTACAGATGAGGAAACTGAGCCCAGAGAGGCTAAATGATTTGCCTAAGGTCATACAGCTAGCAAGTAGGATTCTAAAATACTATGCTATCTCAGTCTAAATCGATCTAATGATCTAAAATCGATCATTGATGTATCAGACTCTAATGTCAACAGCTTAGGAATTTCCTCCCTTCTCCCCTTCCATCTTCTCCAATCTAATACTTTGCACCTGATACACAGAAGGTTTTTTTTTTTAAACAGGCATTTGGGGTTAAGTGACTTGGCCAGGGTCACACAGCTAGTAAGTGTTGAGTGTTTGGTCTGAGGTCAGATTTGAACTTCAGGACTGGTGCTCTATCCACTGCGCCACCTAGCTGCCCCCCAGAAGAGGTTTTCATGTAGATAGAAGGTACAGGGGTGGGCCTTGATGCCACAGGTCCCCACCCCTGGTCTAGGACAATTCACAAACCCACAGGTGAGTAATAGGAGGCCTCAGAGCTGCAAAGGATTCAACCAGGGCTCAAACCTCAGAAGATACTTACCCAGTAAAAAGAAGGCACAAGAGTGTACAGAAGAGGATCAGCACTTGGTTAAACATGGCAGATTGGGTCCGTAGGATGGCCCTGTGGAAGTCATTCTGTAGAAAGATATTGCTGCCATGAGAACGAGGTAGAAAAAAGGAACATGGCCTAGCTCAGTCTGGTTTAACTTGCATGTATTGAGTGCAGTGTGCCTAGCACACAGTCAGGAACTGTGGGTAGAGAGTAGGGAGAAGAGCACTGTCTCTGTCCTTGGGGAATTCACTGTTTGGTTTGATGGACGAGACTTAGCGACAAGCCACTTAGATAACAATATAAATAAAGCAGAGTGGAATTAAGTGCTGGACTGATCTAACCTAATTAGGTGCCCCCAAAGCACAGGACGTGCAACACGTGCTACAGGACCACAGGGACTGTTAAAGGCTTCTTGGAGAAGGATATCCTTGAACCGGACCCTAAAATGGGGAGGATTTGGATCTATGACAAGGGTATTCCAGATAGGATGGCACTCACACCCTCAGCCACACACATACACACACATGCAGAGAATCATACAGGTATAGGCAGACCCGCAATTCTTTAAGATCCCCATGACCCCACCAACCCAAAGGAAGCTACACAATGGCACAAACAGGCTTTCAGAGAAAGACGCACATTCAGACACATAAAGTTGGAACACAACAACTGGCTACTTCAAAAACAAATGATTACTAATAACTGGCTAGGGCTATGAACCATTGATTAGCAAGCTGACTGACTGCATTCAACTTTCTGTTTCACAAATAACTGGTTATTTGAATGGGTTCAGTTAGTCATTTTAAAATATCCAATCGTTCTACTGAATTCAGATTCACAGACTGCTCTAGCTGGAAGAGAGCTTAGGGATCATCTGTTGTTTATGAAACGATTGTCTGTTTAATGGAATTCACTTTCCTCACCCACAGACCAGTTAGGGAGGGCAGACACAGCTTCTGTTTCTGTGGTTTAATCAGCCATTACACTCCACATCTTTCCCATGGCCTCTAGGGGAGGGAGGAGGAGGTAGCAGCAGAATCGCTTTTGTTGGTTGGGTGTCCATCCATGGGGGTTTCATTGCTTAGTTATGCCTGTGATTTGAAACGAGGCCTCAAACTAATCAGTTAGCTTGCTCAAATGAGACAATCATGTAAAATGCTTTGTAAACTAAATAAATACTGGGAATTGTCGTTTAGTTACTTAACCTAGAGTCATATCATGTCAGTGTTGAAAGGAAGCTCAGAGTTCATTTGATGTAACTACCAGCACAGTGTAAGAATCTTCTCTGTAGCCTCCTTGAACACTTCCAGTGACAGGGAGATCACTATGTAATGAGGTAGCATGTCTCATTTCTGGATAACTCAATTAATTAGAAAGTTCTTACTTATAGAGAGCAGATTTCTACCTCCCTGTAATTCCTACCAACTGGTCCTACTGCTGTCCTCTGGATGCAATTAGGAAAAGCCCATGATAGCCTTTCAAAGACTAGAAGCCAGTTATCACGCTCCCCCAAATTCTTTTCCTCACTAGTTTAAATGCACACAGCTTCAATCATTGATTCTCCTTTGATAAAGTTTTGAGTCTTCTCTTTCTCCCCCTCCCCTCTCTCACTCTGGCCCTATCTTGGTTATCTTCTTCTGGACTTAATTTTCCTCATAAAATGTGCCCAGAACTGAACACAATATTTTAGATAGGATATGACTCAGGCAGAGGACAGCAGTACTGACTTCCTTTTTTTCTGGACTCTAGACTTCTATTTATCAATCAACCAGCAAGAATTTATCAAGTGCTTGCAATGTGTCAGGCAAAAAGCTAGATGCAAAGGCAGAAATGAAAGGCCCCTCCTTTCAGATAATTTTCAATATATCGGGGGAGACAATATATACATAAATAACTATATGTAAAACACAATATGAATTTCTTTTATGGAAAAGGTACTGGCAACTAAGAATCAAAAGACTTCCTGTAGAAAGTGGTACCTGCACATGGTTTTGAAGGAAACAGAAGTTCTAATAGGTAGAGATCAGAAGGAAGTGTGTTCTGGACATGTGAGAACCCGACTCAGGAGGTACTGAGGAGATTTATCATTTTTGTTCCTGTCCTGCCAGCCCCTTCCAATTGAGAAGTCTCTGTGGATTCTGAACTCCCTGTCAGAGGTGGATAGCATTGCCTTGCTGACTGCAAAACACCAACATATAGCGGAGGGGGCCTCTCTAAACTGACTGGCTTTTACAGTTCCCCTGGGAGGCAATTAAGTGTTTCAGCTTAAAGGCCTTCCCTACCAGTTTTTACTGGGCTGGAGTAAAGTAAGACCCAACAAAGGACTTGATTATATGTTGAATAGATAGCAATATTAGTCAAAGTAAGATTTGATGCAAATAAGCTATACTGTGGATAGCTGAGACTTCATGGCATATGCTTAGCTTTGCCCAAAGATATCTTTGGGGGAGAAAAAAATCACACACACACACACACACACACACACACACACACACAGAACAATCTATGCTAACAGTAGAAGGGAGACAGATGGGCTACCAGGTTTGCTATAACCCAAACCCACAATCCATTCAGTTTCTAGTTACTTACAATCATGTTCTCCAAGGCATACTTAGCCAGCCAGCAGTTCAGAAAAACTGGGATGAATAAATTCCGCAGGGGAGGCCAGAAAATCTAAGGAACAGTAGACAGCAGCATTTGGGATGAAGCTCTCTGGGGATAATTCCCCAGAAGATGGATACCTAGATCAGTAATCCCTCCTCTATAGAATGGGTGATCTAATGCTTATTTACCGTGATGATAAATGGTACTGTGTTGATCATTTCCAAGATGAAAGAAACCCGGAAGATCTGTTCCCAAATGTTTCCCTGTGGAGCAAAATAGCAAAATAGCTTAGAGAAAATTCCAGAGAGGGAGTGAGGGAAAGATGAAGAGAGAAAAAGTAGGGAGTGAAGCATGGGGAAGGAAAGGTGGGCATTGAGAGGGATGGTAAAAGGAGAGAAGATGGAGCAGTCTGGAGACAAGAGGGGGATATAAGAGGAGGAGAAGAGAAGGGAAGATGGGAATAAAATAAGGAAAAAAGAGAGAGATGTGAGGAGAGAGATATGGAGAAGAAGAAATGAAGACAGAGAGAAAGGTAATAGACAATGGAAGAAGATGAAAGGGAGAAAGACATGAGGATGGGTGAGGGAGAAAGAAAGGAGAAAGATAAGGGGGAGAGAGAAGCAGGAATAGTGGGGAAGAGATGATAAAAGAGCTTGGGAAGGGGTAAAAGAGAGAAATAGACTCATAATGAGGGAGAGGAAGACAGAAAGAGGGAGAGGGAAGGAAGAAAGGGAAGAGATTCACTGAAGTGGGAGAAATAAGGGGTGAGAGAAACTGGGAGAATAGAAGGAAGAGGGAGGGACTTGGAGAAATTACTATTTAACACATATAATTGTATTAACATAGTCATTATAGAGATGGTAGAAACAGTAAAACCAAACCAAATTCCATTTCTTAACCCTTCCCTTCTCCTGGTGCCCAATGGATTATTATTAACTCCAAGGAAAGAATGGAGTAGCTTTCTATAGTCTTCTGTCAGGGCCAGTCTTGTCATTAGTGACCATCTTGGCAGAGGCAAAAGAGGAAGAGGCATACACTTAGCTGCACTTTCCTCCCTACGACATCTTCTGTTTTGAGTGGGGTCTTTTAATTGGCAGCTGTTAACCCTGGAGTTGATTTCCACTTCTGAATAAATAGATTATCATCAGCCTTTCCTGAGGATCCCTGGCTCCCACTTCTATGTGAAAGAAGGGACATTTGTGCAGAGCCAGGAACCAGGATGGGGATTGGCCCAAATCCCCAAGCTCACTTCAGGGACAGCTTAATGACAGGGAGAAAGGCCAGCATCTCCTGGTTTAGAGCCAGGAGTCTGGAATGACAGAACAAAGGATCAAAGGATCTCCCCAAAGACCATGAGCACAGGGCATCTGTTTGGGAACTAGTCCCTCAGACATTCCTGTTCATAGATTAGACTGTGACCTTGGTTCTTCTCTAAAAAGGAAGGGAGAAAGAAGTGGGAAGGAAGAGAATAGGAGAAAGAGAATAGAGGGGAAAGAGAGAAAAAAGGTGCAAAGAGATGGAGAAAGGAACAGGGGAGGGCAAAAAGAAAGAGGAGAGAGGGAAGGAAAGAGAGACGGGAGAAGGGAAAAAGATAATACAGTAGAAATACTATTTATCCTAAAGCATCCTATAGGCTTGTTCTTAGGTAGAGAATTTTGGTTTTAAATAAACATGGGGAAAAAAATCTTTCAGATTATTAAAGGGAGCCTAGTTTAAGTTTTTTTTTCAAAATATCTTCTGTTGGAATTGTCAGGAAATGAACCTCTGTGCATATTTCTTCTCACCAGGCTTTAGCATGTAAACAAGAGCAGTAGCCTTAAGGAGAGCTCAGGGTTTTCAGAAATCTGACTTAGGAAGCTGACTTTGTGGCTGGGTCCGGCCTGGGGAATTAGGACATTAGAAATCAACAAATCATCCTCAGTACGAACATCATTTTCCCTCCCCAAGAGAGAGAAAGAATCAAGATAATAACATGGAATGCAAAGAAATTGGAACTCCAAGAACACAAAATGTTAAAAAGTAAAAACAAAAATAAGGGAGAGGCAGTGAAGTGGATAGGGCACTGACTATACTTTCAGTCAGTGAAACCTGAGTTCAAATTCTTCCTCTGTGCAGCTGTGTGACCATGGACAAGTCACTTTAACTATTTCAAACTCAGTTTCCTCATCTGTAAAATGAGGGAGTTGCATTTGATGACCTCTGAGAACCCTTCCTGCTCTAAAAGTTAGGTACTGTAATGTATTGTATAAGCATTAGCTATGGCTGTGAAGTTCAGAGTTTCTTTCAAGTGTTCCAATGTGACCAGTAGGTCCTATGTTCTTTGTCAAAGGACATTTCTTCTCCAATTGCTGGACTACATTCCTACTTTCCTTCTGGGAAAGGGAAAAAAAAGAAACACAATCCAGGGAGAGAAGGAAGGACATAAACAAGTAGTATTGGACTACTCCTCCCTCTTCTAGACTTCCAAGGAGATCAGAAGAGAGCTTACCTTGTAGCTGAGATAGATGAGGAGCATTGTCTCAAGAAAACCTATTAATGCTATAATGACCTAGAAAAGAATGAAGGATAGACATTGAACCTCTTGGAGAACATGAAGAAAAACTGTGGTGGAACCAAGGGATTTTTCCAGGGTTACTTCACTAGCCAAAACTTGGAAGAAGAGGGACAGGGCTCAGGGAAGGAAAAGAACATAGGCCAGAATATCTGGGGGGTAGCTCTTGACCCAGAAATCCCCCAAAAGAGGTAGTGACACAATAGCATGATCCTAGGCCAAGTTCTAAAGTCAGGGAAGTTTCCCTTTGTTGCTCTGCCTTTTACCCTTCTGAGTCCTTCCTGAGGCTCTTGGATGACCTTGCCTTAGGATTGTTCTCTCTCTTATCCTCTGTGTCTTTTGCACAGCCCTAACTAAACCAGGGCTATTACTTGATAGGGGCTTAAGGTGTCATCCTTTTTGGGGATGTTTGCACTTTAATTCCATTCCATTCCGTTCAATAAGCATTTATTAACCACTGGGCAGTGTGCTAGGCGGTGTTTGTGTGTATGCATAGAGGGTAGATATTTACAAAGAAAAACCAAAACAATTCCTGCCTTCTGGAAGCTTACAGTCTATTGGTGGGAAAAAACCAAATATACTTGTAACTATAAATATAAAATATATTCAAAGTATGGGGGAAGGAAGGAGGGCATACAAGTTTAATATAAAGGACAATTTGTTAATAATAGAGCAGGAATTCCAGAGGGTACAATGAAAAGCTGAGAAAGAGTGGGATAGGAATATCAAGGGGATGGGGCTAATGAGACAGTTAGGAGGGAGCCCCAAGGAGTAATGGGCAGGGAAAATAGCTTCTGCCTGGGTATCCTACAACTAAGATGCATAGAAAATTTGAGTGCCACACTCTTCACAGTAGCAAAAGAAATGTTGATTTGATTACCAGCTCCTGGGAAATAAATGGAAGGTGGAGGAAGGGATACAGAAGAAAGTGGTATGTGACAGAGCAGATACTCCATGCCTGGTCCTTCCTACTGGAAAAGGCAGGTATTGATGGAGTCCTAGGGCCAGATTAGTTATAGCAAGTTTAATAGGAGACACTGTGAGATTGAAAGGTCTTCATATGCCCAAAGAATTTTAGGTACCATGGAACATTATTAGGAGATATTTGGAGTTTGGGGATGGGTTTTCCTGCTACCTCATAAATTAATCATTACTATAATATCAAAAACTTTTTGAGTGTCTGTACAGAAATAGGGTGTCATCAAAAGCAACACTAGTTTCTATGGGTATTCTTCAACTTGGCAAGTTCAGAGAAATTATCTAGAGGAACTTCCTGAAATCTTAGGCAAAGAACCTTTGCAGATGACTTCTGAATTACCTGTCAAATTATAATCACTCACCTGAAGTGCCCAGAGAGTCATGTTTCTCTCTACCCACAAGATTGGGGCCCTGGAGAGAGAGGGAATTAAAAAACAACTGTAAGACAGGTAAAAATCCAAATATTATTGTATTCTTTTTATTTTACCTTTCTTGCAACCACCAACACCAATTGCTGATCATCTGCCATAGACAGGCAGGTAAGTTCAAGAGCTTAGGAGTACTGGTACTCCAGGACCTCTGGTTCTGCTTTCAGCCCAGCCCTGGAAAGCCACCCTCCTGGGAAGCAACCCTCATGGAGATATGGCCTGGCACCTGCTTCTTCAGTTACTAGACCCCTAGCTCCTGAAGACCCAGAGGAGACAGTTCTCGCCAGAAAAATCTGTAGCACTGTCAAATGGTTCAATATCAGAAACTGAAATCATTTTTGGAAAATGACATTAAAGATGATTCATTACCATCACTTTGTCACTGCACTAAGGAGTATAACACCTTTCCATCTGACTAGCAGCTAAAACCTAGGAATATTGTCTCCCTGTTAGAATGAGAGCTCCTCAGGGCAGAGCCAAGATGGCAGAATAAAAGCAACAACTTGCTTGAGCTCTCCTCCAAAGCCCTCCAAATACATGTAAAAAAATCACTCTAAACAAATTCTAGAGCAGCAGAACCCACAAAAAGACAGAATGAAACAAATTTCCAGCCCAAGACAACCAGGATGGTTGATTTGAAAGGTCTATTGCACTGGGCTGGGAGAGGAACGTGGTTCTGTGTGGCCCAAAAGACCAGGCCTCAGCGAACCTTGAGCAGGCCTCAGGGGACTGAATCAGGGGCAGCTGTAGTGGTTTCCAGACTTCTCAAATCACAAACACCAAAGACAACTTAGAAGGTCAGTAGGAAAAGTCTGTGACTGTGGTGATAGAGAAGCTTGGTTCCAGCCCCAGTCCTAGGGTAGCCCTGGGGTGGCAGCTGCTTCCTGAGCTCTCAGCCCACAGATGAAGGGGGAATCTAGTGGCTGATCAAAGGGGGATTGTAGGGATTTCTCTACGGGCACTGAGGCAGAATTCTCCTGCTTTGCCCATGCTTGGATCTGGGTCACAGTTCTGGTGAAGCTTGAAGTGGTGGTAAAGAGAAAATCCTCCTCACAGTTCCAAGGCAGAAAAGAGTGCTTGTGGTCACTCAGAGACCAGAGTACAGGCCAGGAAAGGAATAAATACCTCTCACTTGATCCTACCACCTTGGAAAAACTGAAAATTTGCAGGTCTCTAGAAGTATCTCTGAAAACACTGCACAAAACTCCCCAAAGCTTGGGACAGCACATTCCCCACACTGGAAGCAGATCCCTACCTTAACAAAGAGTTTAAAACTCAAGTAATTGCCTGGGAGTATGTGCCAACAAAGGAACAAAAAAAGTCAGATCATGGAATCTTTCTTTGATGACATAGAAAATCAAAATATACAACCAGAAGAAGACAACAAAGTCAAAGCTCCTATATCCAAAGCCTCCAAGAAAAATATGAATCAGTTCCAGTCCATGGAAGAGCTCAAAAAGGATTTTGAGAAGCAAGTAAGAGAAGTAGAGGAAAACTGGGAAGAGAAATGAGAGTGATGCAAGAAAATCATTAAAAAACAAGACAACAGCTTGGCTAAAGGAGACTCAAAAAAATACTGAAGAAAATAACACCTTAAAAAATAGCCTAACCCAAATGGCAAAAGAGGTCCAAAAAACCAATGAGGAGAAGAATGCCTTCAAAAGCAGAATTGGCCAAGTGGAAAAGTGAGTCCCAAAAGCTCACTGAAGAAAATACTTCCCTAAAAATTAGAATGGAGCAAATGGAAGCTAGTGACTTTATTGAGGAATCCAGACATTGTAAAACAAAACCAAAAAAAATAGAAGACAATGTGAAATTTCTCATTGGAAAAATAACTGACCTGGAAAATAGATCCAGGAGAGAGAATTTAAAAATTATTGGACTATCTTAAAGCCATGATCAAAAAAAGAGCCTAGACATCATCTTTCAAGAAATTATCAAGGAAAACTGCCCTGATATTCTAGAACCCCAGAAGGTAAAATAGAAATGTAAAGAATGCACCAATCACCTCCTGAAAGAAATCCTCACAGGAAAACTCCTAGGAATATTGCAGCCAAATTCCGTGGTTCCCAGGTCAAGGAGAAAATATTGCAAGCAGCCAGAAAGAAACAATTCAAGTATTGTGGAAACACAATCAGGATAACACAAGACTTAGCAGCTTCTACATTAAGGGATCAGAGGGCTTGCAATATAATATTCTGGAGGGCAAAGAAGATAGGATTACAGCCAAGAATCACCTACCCAGCAAAACTGAGTATAATCCTTCAGGGAGAGAAATTGACATTCAGTGAATAGAGGACTTTCAAGCATTCTTGTTGAAAAGACCAGAGATGAATAGAAAATTTGACTTTCAAATACAAGACTCAAGAGAAGCATGAAAAGGTAAACAGGAAAGAGAAATCATAAGTGACTTGTTAAGGTTGAACTGTTTACTTTTCTGCATGGAAAGATGATATTTCTAGCTCATGAGACCTTTGTCAGTATTAGGGTAGTTGGAGGGAAAAATGTATGTATGTATGTATGTATGTATGTATGTATGTATGTATGTATAGATAGATAGATAGATAGATAGACAGATAGATAGAGGGCAGAGAGTGAGTTGAAGATGAAGGGGTGATATCTGGATAATAAAATTAAGGGATGAGAGAGGATTATACTGGGAGAAGGAAAAAGGGAGAGGTAGAATGAGGTAAATTATCTCACATACAACAGACAAGAAAAGGCTTTTATAGTGGAGGGGAAGTGGGGGAAGGTGAGAAGGAATGAGTGAATCTTATTCTCATTGGATTTGGCTTAAGGAGGGAATAACATATGCACTCAATTGGGTATGGAAATCTATTTTAACCTACAGGAAAATAAGGGGTACGGGGATAAGAAAGCAGGGCGAGATAGAGGGGAGGGCAGCTTGAGGCAGGAGGTAATCAGAAGCAAACACTTCTGAGGAGGGACAAGGTCAAAAGAGAGAATGGAATAAACAGGGGGGTGGGATAGGATGAAGGAAAATATAGTTAGTTTTTCACAACATGACTACTATGGAAGTGTTTTGCATGACTACACATGTATAACCTGTATTGAGTTGCTTGCCTTCTCAATGAGGGTGGGTGGAAAGGGAGGAAGGGAGAAAATTTGGAATCCAAAGTTTTAAAAACAAATGTTAAAAATTGTTTTCACATGCAACTGGGAAATTAAGACATACAGGCAACGGTGTATAGAAATGTATCCTGCCCTACAGGAAAATAAAAGGGGAAGGAGATAAGAGAAGGGGAGTGGTGGGAGATAGAAGGGAGGGCAGATTAGGGGAAGGGGTATTCAGAATGCATGCTGTCTTGGAGTGAGGGGAGGGACAAGATGGGGAGAAAATTTGGAACTCAAAATCTTATGGAAGTGAATGTTAAAAACTAAAAATAAATAAATTAATAAATTAGAAAAAGAAGAAAAAAATTTAAAATAAATCAAAAATCAAAAAAAAAAAAAAGAATGAGAGCTCCTTGAGAACAAGGACTGTCTTACACTTTTATTTGTATCCTCAATGCTTTGCACATTGTAAGCACTACAATAAATGCTTTTTCATTCACTCATTTGTATTCAACTCAACAAACATTTATTAAGCACCTGTAATGTGCAAGTTTCCAGAATCATTATCTCTGTGGTCTGCCACACACTATCAAGCGTCATCAATTAAGATTTTATAACTTCAGAGTATATTTCCACTCCTTATGGCAGATTACCTTTGCACTATCCAGGAAGGAAGAGTTTCCCAGGAAGATCAGTATTGAATACATTGGGTCAATCTTTCCAGAGGAAGATTTTGCTTAATACAATGGAAAACTTCCCAACAATCCCAAGTTTCCTAATTGACCAAAAGTTGGAATGAGCTCTCTCAGGGTGTAGTGAGTTTTTTGCTCATGTTGAGGGAATTCCAGTAGAAGATAAGCTCTTTCAGTCAGAGATAGTTTCATTTTTGTCTCCACATTCTCAGAAACTTGCACATAGTAGGTGCTTAATAAGTGTTTTTTTTTGGGTTGATTCCAGTTTCTGCTCAGTGATAATGGGTTGGAACAGATCATCTCTGACCCTCAGGACTGTCCAACCTTGCAGGGCAGTGTGTTCAGGAGCTTTTCTATGTTGGTAGCCTTCTGTAACCCCAGGAAGATGGGCAAGTAGCAGTAAAGGGCAATTTGATGTTTCCTGGAGGGAAGGCTGACAAGGAAGGAAAGTCTGATGACCGAGGTCTATGAGGCCTGAGCTGAGAAATATTTGATAGGTTTGACAGCAGAGCCATGGATGGCAAAGTGAAATCTAAAGCAAGCCCAACTTAAAAACAAAACAAAATAAACTCCTCACGAGGCCTGCAGCCAGCAGAATAGGGCAAGTGTTCAGATCTGGCAGAGTAGCCTTGAACATTTTAAAATCTCTAACCTCTTGGCAGATAATTACCTCCCTCATTTATCCAGTGAAG